AGGAGAGGGCCCTACGTCTCTCTCCTCCTCATCGAAGACCTCGCAGTTGTCCTCCCTCCTAATACACTGGACTGACTGGTCCACCCGCACCGCTACGACTGCCTTGCATCTCGCCGTCTTCCTCTCCTTAGAGAAGTAGTCCCCCGCGGCCCCTGACCTCCACCTCCTGATTCTCTCTGTCGTCGGCTCGATGTCGTAGTTGTACACTTGGTACTCCACCACGGTGAAGGCAGGACGGTACTCCGGCAGGCTCCTCCTGATCATGAGGTCCACTGACGCCTCCGCCCCTTCGAACGTGTAGCCCTTCCTCTCGAGCTCCTTCACTGACTTGAGGATCTCTCCGCTCCTCTGCTTCCAATCCTCATCCTTGCCCTGCCTCTCTCCGCTCTTCAGCGCTCCTCCCTGCTGCCCGAGCATCCCGAACTCCTCAACCTTGCTCATGATATTCCCCCTCCCCGACAGCTCACTGATCAGCACCCTCCTCTGGTTCCCGACCAGCGTCGGGTCGATGTGTTGGTATGAGTCTTCGTTCTTCAGCACAGCGGCAACGTGGATGCCTCCCTTGTGGGCGAAGGCCGAGTTCCCGACGAAGGGCTGGTTCGATCGGTGAGGAAGATTCATCTGCTCGTTCACGGTCCTCGACAGCCTCGTCAGCGTCCTCAGCGCCTGTCCCTCGACCAGCTCCAGCTTCATTTTCAGCTGCAGCACAGGGATCACCGTAGTGAGGTCCGTTGTCCCATCCAGCCCGTTCACCGTGCCTGTCACCAGCTCCATCCCCTCCTTGGCCGCGTACAGGGCGCTTGCTGCCGCGAGCTCCAAGTTGTCACTGCAAGAGACTCCCAGCCACGTCCCGTGCTCCTGCGTTCGCTTCCTCTGAAGCATCTCCTTTGCCATGGCCGAGATCTCCCATGGCGTTCCGATCCCTCCGCTGTCCACCACCACCAGGGCATCGGCTCCTGCCTCCTGCAGCGTCGACATGATCTCTAGCAAAGCGCTGCTGTCTTGCCTCCAGGCATCGAACCCGTTGTGAAGGTGCACGAAGGTCTTGAGTTTGCCTTCAGCCGTCCTCTCCCACTCCTTTATGATCTTGATCTGACCAACAAGGCGGGCGAGGCAACCCTTGCTGACCCACTCCCCGTCAGCTCCCAGAACTGTAAACGCCAGCCCGAAATTCCGGACGTTGAGAGCTAACGAGTCTCTTGCTCGCTCGCGATCCTCCTCCTCCCTCCCTCCCTCTGCGAACGGCAGCATGGCAACAAGCTTGTGGAAGCATGAAGGCGACAGCTCTTGCCTCGCACGCTTGAAAAACGCCTCGTCCACCGTGTCCACCGACGGCCATCCGCCTTCGATGAAGTGCATGCCGAAGGTGCTGAGCATGTCAGCGAGTTTCAGTTTGTCTTCCGTGTTCCTGCACGCCATGAAAGAATGCATCAGTGCTCGATCATACATCAACAGCATGCGCACCACTCAGCGTTTCGTTGCGAAAGCGTCGAGTCGTAGAGGAAGACGTCGCGTTTTGCTGACATGCTTGTTGCAAGTCCTTTCCTTGCATGCTGTCGAATCTTGATAGGATCGGAAACTTGCAACCTTGTTCTCGGCCATGCCAGCACGCCCCTGCTCGACTGCATGTGACGAACATGAAGCATGTTCGACCTGTATGGACAGAGAATCTGAGGACACCATCCGTAAACCGGAGCCAGGCACATGACAAGAAGGGAAAACTGCTGCATGGCGCGTTTTGGGGCCATGTTCGATGCACCTGACCCTCAATCTCTCCTTCCCTTCCTCGCTCCTCTTTGACACAGCCCCGCCCCTGTCCTCTTGCAAGCTCTTCGGGGACAATTCGGTCAGCCGCGCCGAACACCTGTTCTGCAGGATCAGGAAAAAATGTCCATCGATGTCTTCATGACGACATCCTTTTCTCTGTCGTCCCCCCCCCGCCCCCGCCCCCTTTTTTCCTGATCCTGCCTCCCTCAAAATAACCTTTCCTCCCCTCTGTTTCCTTTTGCGGTTCCTTTCTCCTTCCCTGTATCCATCAGACGATTTTCTACATCCTCACTAGAGCACGCGACATCTGACCATTGAGAAATTCAAATTTCTCCTCTCCTCCTTAATCATTGACACTGGTGTGACTTCAAGTCTTCGTGTTCATCGCTCCAGCTTCTGCCCCGCCCCTCCTAAACCCTAAACCCTTCTGCTCCTGCCCCTGCCCCTGCCCCTGCCCCTGCCCCTGCCCCTGCCCCTGCCCCTGCCCCTGCCCCTGCCCCTGCCCCTGCCCCTGCCCCTGCCCCTGCCCCTGCCCCTGCTCCTGCTCCTGCCCCTGCTCCTGCTCCTGCCCCTGCCCCTGCTCCTGCTCCTGCCCCTGCTCCTGCTCCTGCTCCTGCTCCTGCTCCTGCTCCTGCTCCTCCCCAATTCCGCATGCGGCGTATTGACCAGATGATTTCCCCGCTTATTCAATTCCAACATAGAATAAAATTACACAGAACATTTTGAAATTATGATATATGACTCATTCTGATTTGAAATTTCCATGGACGCTCATGCACTGCAAGAGACGCAACGTGGGAACGTGTGGATTGAGAGAGGAGGAGGAGGAGGAGGAGGAGGAGGAGGAGGAGGAGGAGGAGGAGGAGGAGGACAAAGGGTCTGAGATCAGGGAGGGATGGAGGAGAGTGCATGCGAAGATGGGAGAGACTAAGATGATTTGAGGATGAATCCTTGCAGTCATGGAACCGGTGCTCCTCCTCTACCATTGCGGATCACAACTGCATTGCCATCAACCAAGCTGCATGCGTCGTTCTGTTGATGCCGTAGCCTCGTGAACCTGCGCCATGACTCGTAGGGTCATGTTGCTCGCGTCTATCTTGGTCTTCTCGCTAAAGGCTGAATCCTTTATCGCAAAACACGGGGATTTTCGCAACGACAGGCGCAAAATGCTGGATAGTCCTCGTATCCTTCCTGTCTCCTACGTCCAGAGAATGTCGGGAGGAGCTGCTCACCCATGGGAGAAAACTCGCATGGTCCCGGACTATTACGCCATGCTCGGAGTCAAACAAGATGCGAATCAGGAAAGCATTAAAAAGGCTTACAAGAAGCTCGTGTTAAGGTATCATCCTGACAAGAACACCAAGAACCAGAACGCGAAAGAAATGTTCATCAGGGTGCAGGTACGCTGTGTCTGCTCTGCTCCGCATGGTTCTTAGACGCCGTCCAGGAAGCGTACTCGGTCCTCTCGGACCCGAAGCTGAAGATCGAGTACGACGAGGCCAAGTTGGGTAGCAAAGTATCGTCGATGTTCCAAGACAACATCTTCCAGCGTCAGGGCGCTGCCAGTCCTGGGCATCAGACACCAAATGTCCCTCTCAACAAGCAGAGCGCGTGGGCTCGGCAGCGAACTCAGGAGGCCAAGTGGGAGTTCGGGGGTTCTTATGCCGACATGAGGGCAAAACAGATTCTGAGGTGCGAGTGGAAACCTGACGTGTGTTGAGAATTCTTCTTGATACTGAAGTTTGTTGGGCCTTGCTGAATTCTTCTTCGTACCGATGATCCCAAACGTGTTTGAGAGTGTGGAGAATTCTTGAAAACGCTCATGTGTATTGTGTGAGAGAGATTGTTCCTCTGTACTGTTGTTCGCATTTCCCGTGATCAAAGTCTGGCAGGCGGCAGGAGAAGATTCGGGCAGAGGCAGCAGCTCGTGCGCGTCAGGCTTTGAACTCGCAGTGGAAGGAGAAGAACGGACCTGAGCCAGAAACTACCGACGATCAAAAAGCTCGACCCCCCCCATCCAAGGGAAGATCTTTTTTTTTCAAGGTTTGCCGCCTTGCGATCTTCCATGCCCCTGATAGCGGCATTTGCGCAGGACAAGATGAAGAAATCTCCAAATAAAGAAAACGAGGGACTAGACGTGAAGGAGATGATTGCTACCGTGTCGCTCAAGAAAGCAGAAGAAAAGATCAAACTTGACATGGCCAACAAGGCGAATGATGTACCACCTGCCTACTTAAGGTGGTGACTGGCTCGTTATAGGCTGATGATTGAGCAAACCCGCAGACTGCAGCTTGAAGACATTCTTTGGGACGACATACTTCCCTCCATGGTCGATGTCAGTGATGCCAGTAGGGCGATCAAGGTAAGGCCACAAATGTGGACTCATTCACTCCGACTTGACTTACCTCTAGTTCATGTGGCATCCGCCGTTGTCCAATATGAAGAAATCGGTCGTCACGTCGACTTTTGACATCGTATTCGTGCATCACAAAGTCAGAGATCTTCCTTCTTGTTCCTGCTTCTTTCTCCTCCTCCTGCCTCTCCTCTGCCAATCTTCCTACTTCACCTCTCTTACTTTTCCTTCCTCTCTTCTCCCCCTCTTCCTACTTCTCCTCTTCTCTCATCCTCTTCCTGCGTTTCTCCTTCTGAATGCTTGGGATAGGTGCAGAGTCTGTCTACAGTGAATAATCGGGCTGGTGTTGTGATCTTTGTACAGAGAATCGATGAATATTTTCATAACAAGAGAGATTTCAACGCCTCGGAATGTGCGCTGAAGATCCGAAGATACCTGGGCGTCCAGTTCTTTCGAATGGACCTCGTCAAGGACGTTGGAAATGATAGCGAGGATGAATCAAAGTCGGAGGCAGCGGCAGCACAGAGATCATGGTGGGAACACCCAGCCGACAAGTCCCAAGGCGGAGGGTTGGGGAGCGGGGAGGAGAGCGAGGAGGAGGAGGAGGAGGAGGCGGATGAGAGTTCTGAAGTGCATGGCTACGACATCTCCCGGAAGCTGCTGATGAAGGAAGAAGACGACCTGCGGAAAAAGGGAAACTGCTTCGCCTGCGGTCAGCGCATAGCAGAGCGAGAGGACGCGTTGAAGAACGGGGACGAGCGCTGGCATCGCAAGTGCTATCAACAGGCGATGCAGGAGCAGCGAAAGCAGACAGCTCCCATGCACAGCCCCCAGCACCCCAAGACGGCAGAGGACAGGAGGGAAAGGGTCTCCAGCCACAGTGCTGCTTCACATAAGGAGGAGGACTACCGCCAGAGGGTTTCCAGCATGCCGACGGGAACAGAGCCGAGGGCACACCGTGAGAGAGAGGAGGGAGAGCCCCGATCCTCTTCGCCCCCATCGAACGATTTTCTCTCTGATGTCTTGAGCTCGGACACTGACGTCACGAGGTCGGTCGAGGTTGACTCCGACGAGTACCTCCGCCTCAGGCAACGTGCGTCCTTGCAGCCTCTCTCAGCTCCGCACTGACACCCTGCCCGCAGAGAGATCGCGAGCCTCCTCGCAGGGCCATCCTGCTCCACCCCCAGCTCCATCTCCTGGCCCAGCTCCTGCTGCCCCCTCTGATGGGAACCAACATGCCACATCTCTGTTGCGCGTGCTTGTCAGGGAGCTCGAGAGGGTCGGGAACAGCACGCGTACGAGGATGCAGCAGGCATGACTCAGCTCGTCTCCTCTTCGCTACCGTAGGAGGAGACGGAGGACGAGTCGTCCCCGGCACTGGTCGTCTCCCTCGCCCCCTTGCTTCTGCCCCCCCTCCATCGCTCCGCCTCCTTCCCCATGTCCAGCAGCGAGTCGACAATCCTGCCTTTCACAGCCTCCAGGTCTTCCTTCCTCGCCGGCTCTATGGTTCTGACGAGGTTCACAGTGTTCTTCGGGGCCCAGCCCCTGTCGATCGAGAGCGCGGCGTTGCCTCTTACCAGCTGCTTCCCAGCTGCAAAAGTGGAGGCTGGGCTCCTGGTGGGGAGGAAGTTCAGCTGCTCGACGACGTGGAGGGTGCGGAGAGCTTCGGTGGTTCGCTGGGTTGAACTCTCGATGACTTCCTTGACGATCTTCCCAGCTGCCCTCTTAGAGATCAGGTGGCTCTCGAGCCTCTCCAGCTCCTCCCTGCCAAAGTTGTGCAGGACGGGAGGCAGGACGATCACTCGCTCCCCCTCCTTCACGCTCGACTGCTCCTGCTCCTCCTCTTCCTCCTCCTGCTTGCTCTCGTTGAGCTGGTTCAGCGATTCTTCTGCCCGCCTCCTTGCTCCCTTCCCGCTCATCAGCCACATGGAGAGCGAAACCCACGGGCTGCCCATGACGTTCAGGAAGGTGGGAAGAGGCACTTCGGCCTCCAGCCTCTTGTGCCATTCCCCCCCCAGCAGCATCTGCATCACTTCCGCCTTCTCAAAGGGTTCGTAGCCGTAGTTTGACAAAGCCACGTCAAGCTCGCTCACGCTGAGGGTCCCCCCATGGTCAGTGTCGAAGAGCTCAAACAGCAGCCTGAGATCCTCCTGCTTCTGCTTGAAGTAGGAGCGCAGCAGCAGCACGTTCACCGAGACGTACCACAGCACGGACAGGGCAAGGAAGGCATTGGAACCTGCAATGACCTGGTGAGACTGATCGAAGTACACGATCAAGCTCCGCTGCAAGATGCCCAGGTGAAGCACGGGGAACGCTGCTCTGACGCTGAGGTCGACGAGGTCGACGATGAGAAGGATGCGCTTGTTGTAGTCCTGCTGCCTGCGTGATGGAAACCCCTCTGCCATCCTTTTGAGCAGCAGGCAGGTGACGACGAACGCGTGCAGGAGCAGGAGAAGAGTCATTGTCATGTTGACCTGATAGGCAGACATCGGTCAGAGGAGGAAACGACGGGTTAGCAGCGCTTACGATGATCGGGTCCGTTGGGACGCTCTCTCCTTCCTTCCTCCAGGCCGCTTGCAGGATGCAGGGGAGCGCCAGGAAGCAGGCGAGGATGCGATCAACGAGGATAGGGGAGAGCTGCTGGTCCTTGCGCGTCCTCGGGTCGATCTGCGTGGGGGGAAGGAGGAAGGTGCACCAGGACAGAAGCACGGGGAAGAAGCTCGCGAAGATTGGGAACCAGAGCTGGAAGTCGTCGAAGCCCAGCAGGAGGATAGGGGAGTCCCACCTTGTCATGCTCGACTGGTTCAACGCAGGGATCGACCGCCTCAGCTGGAAGCCAGCCAGTGGCAGGCTCGGCGAGCTGACCCTTGACGAGTCCACCGAGAGTCGTAGGCCGTAAGTCGACCTGCCGTCACCACGCTCAGCTCTTCCCCAGCTGAAGTCTATCTCACATCTGACCTGGAAGAGAGCGACAGGCTCATCACGACATCAAGCTTCCCAGCTGAGCTGACGTTCAAGTCCGTGGGGATGAGCTGCCCAGAAGACGATAAGTAGGTGGTGGAGCAGCAAACGGACTCATTCCTTTTCCCCTTCCTCTTCCTCTTCCTCTTCTTCTTCCTCTTCCTCTTCCTCTTCCTCTTCCTCTTCCTCTTCCTCTTCCTCTTCCTCTTCCTCTCCTTTCCCTCTCCTCTTCCCTTCCTTCTGCCCTCCCCTTCCTCTCCCACCCTCCATTTCTCTCCTCACCTTCATGCTAAATTTTCCCTGGCAAACAAATGTCCTTGTGATAGATTGGTTGGCAGCTTGATAGTCCGACTGCAGTGTAGCACATCGGTCCATCCTTACTGCATTGCTAAACACCCTCCCATCCATCGCCGATACAGCGTTCCAGACCAGACCTCCTCCTCGGCACTTGCATGCTCCTGCGCTGCTCCTGCTCCCCAGCGCCGTTGCAAAGATCACCTCGTCGCAAGCTCCGCATACCTCCCTCTCCACCTGGACACACTCCCCTGTCAAGTTGAAACTACGACCTTACATACCATCACCTGCATCCAGTCGCTACCGCAAGGGTTCAGGAAGCTGTCAGCTAGCCTTCTGTCCGACCAAGACAACGAGAAAGTGACGGAGGAGTCGAAGGTGTGAGCAGTGAGGTCGATCTATATCAAGTCAGCCCTCAACGCACCATAGGGAGCAGGCCAAGTCAAAGTCGGCAGCTAAAAAAAATGCATACCCCTCTCACTCTCAAGTCCGAGATCACGACCGAGATCACAGAGTCTCTCAGAGGGATTAGCATTTGACTGCTTTCAGCTGTCAGCATGACGACCCAACGGCCATCGAACAGCTCACGGAGCGATCTTGGGAGCACAGAGGCTTCCAAGGTAAGCAATATCGTTCCGCTGCTGCCCTCCATAGCAGTCGTCGACGTTGTCGATGTACCTTGGGACGTGCTCGGAGCAAGAGTCCTGAAGCAGAAAAGTCAAGGTCCTTGCAGCATCCTCCTCCCTCACCGTTTCCAGCCTGGAGCTGCACAAGTATCCGCCAGGATCGTAGAAACACTGTGAGCGGTTCGAGATGGACACGTTGGTGTGGGAAAGATTCCCTGGAAAGAGAAGATCCCAGCTGCTCTCCCCGACAAGCTTCTTGCTCACAAAGCAGTAGCCGCATCCTTGCATTAGGCAATACTTGCACTGCAAGTTGGTGCCGAAGTTCGCCAACGCAACCTGAACCCATGTTCAGCAAGTGCAGCAGACAACAGGTAGCTTCTCCTCCTCCTCTCAATGGAACCAACAAGGTTGATCAAAAACGGTGACCAAAACATCCTCTTCCTGCTCCATTCTTGCCTGCGTGTCGTCGCCCTCCTCCTCTTTGAGCTGATACCCCTTCGAGGTTTCCCCGCATGCGAGGAACTTCGCCTCACTGAATGGAACCTTCTCGAAGGACTCGTAGGCAGCTCGGTATACCTGCTGAGAGGTCAACCCCCGGCGACAAGACACGTTGAGCCTACCGGAGCGTTCTGAGTCGTGGGGGAGGTGAAGCCAGGGTCACCTCGGAGGGCAGGTGAACTGCATGGAGCCGACAGGGCGCGATGAAAGCAGAGGAGAGAGGAGCAGAGGAGTAAGAACAGCTGCGCTGACGGCATCGCTGACTCCGCCATGGCAAATATTCTCATGGCATTCCGCCCGAGTCAATCTGAAATGTTGCTCCAGTATTTCCTGCTCTCCAGGCAGAGATGCACTCGACAAATTGCCTTATTGTATTCTTGTGGATCACTCTCCCTGAGACTGTCCAGAGCTCTCCCTCGTGCTCTTCCCCTCTTCTTCTCTCCCTTCTCCCCTTCACTGTCTCCCTTCTTCTCTCTTCCTCTCCCTCTCCCTCCCTCTCCCTCCCTCCGCTTCAACTGCAACGGACATCAATTTGACCGCACATGGTAATTCTTGCCTTTTCTTTTTTTAGTCAATAAAATAAGTAATTCTGAAGGCTTTTATATATTATTAATTCGTTTTAGAAACTAGTTCAATGTTTGTAACACACAATTATTGCAAAGATTATAAATATTTTTCTTAATAATAACTTTAGTTACATTTGGAAACAACAAAGATTTATTAACGCTGTACCGTAGCAAGACCTGGTACAAAGTGCTTAAAACCCTGGTACTAATTCCAGCAATAATTCTAGTTGACGCCGCCCATGGCAGGACCGAAGTCCACATCGTTCATGCACCATGTTGAAACAGTCCGCTCTCAGCTGGGGCTTTCCTCGAATCTTCGTATTGGTGAAGTTATCTCGAAAGCATATCAAATCGTGGGATGGAGTTTTCAAGGGAACCTTGTAGAAGCGGCTAGTCGTCTTTATGAAGAATTGGCAGGCGAATCTCAGCTGGATGACTCTCCCGCATCGGTCACTGTCAGCAACACAATGGTGGTGTCAGAGAAAAAGCTAGGGGATGTTGATGCTTCTGATCATATACCGTGCGATGGTAATGCTGGTCCGGTTGATCGCAATACCATGTCAGACGACGATTTTCAGCAATGTTCTCATCGTCCTGTTCTGTCTGGCCCGTGTAAGAAACATGCCCCTATTGCGAGGCATTCCGTTCTTCCTGGCCCTGCCTCGCCCCTTTCGGATGTCGACACAATGCTAGACGACGCAACTTCCTTCGCCAATGCTCCCGCCGATTGTCATGCTGCGAAGTTTCGGGGCAAATATTTCCAGTCACGGAAAGAGTGTACGACTTACGTACAAGAAGTAAACTTTCTCGATGGGAATAAGGGTGTTCGTGTGCAAACTGCGCCATCAGGATTTAAATCATATCTGATCCTGTGTAAGTGTGATGGATGCAGGTAAGGTTTTTAGAAACGAAGAGGTTTCTCCTGTGATTCCAGGTGGTCAGGTACCAGTTACTTGCAAAGAAATCTGTCAGCGACCGACAGAGATATAAGAGTTACTGGTACATAGATGTTGCGAACAGTGTTACTGAGCATTGCAAAGCCCTGTGTACATCTTTGGGAAAGGGTACTATACGATTCTTGGTGAACAACGAATACTTCCGTTCGTTGCTATCAACTTCGATTGGTGATGGCGGTGGTTTGCATCAAACCCGCATGACTGCTAAGGAGCTGCAAGTTGCGGTCAAGTCTGAATTAGGAGTAGATGTTAGTCTTGCTAATATTTTCAAAGCCCGTTCCCAGGTTGAAAATGGATTATGGGACGATTATCGCAATTCCTTTCTTCTTCTGGAAAAGTGGATGGAGCGATATACATCATTGAATAAGGGGAGTCGTGGAATCGTAATGGCGCCCGTGCGGTCTAGCAGTGGTAATTCATTTCGTGGAGCATTTCTTGCCAATGGAACCATAATCCATTTGCTGAAAACTGTTGGTCTGCGCATTCTTGGGCATGACTACTGTAACATCGCACACAAGTATACATTCCTCACTGTTCTATGCTTTGTTCTCGAATGATTCTGCACAGGTGGTATTGTGGTAAAATAATGGTTATTGAAGCAAGGTTGGGAACTAATACCATCATCCCCCTCGCAGTTGGTACATGCTAATGCTTGTTGAATTCATTCAATTTGTTCATATGCATGCAGGGTTATTCGCTTCGTCGCAAGGAGATGACTCTACCGTCGGTGACGAGACAGAAGAAAATACTGCTTTCATGTGGGAACAATTGAAGGCTACTGGATTGAACCAATGGTTGTCTCGCAAATCTGGTGCTTTGACAGTGATAACCGATCGGGAGAAAGCAATCTTGGCCGGTGTGCAACGGGCTATGCCTGATGCTGATGTTATCTTTTGTTGCTTTCACTTGCTCTGTAACATCAATCAACATTGCAAAGGTATCTTCCTGTGCTTCGATTGAAACAGAGATGTCACTTATGATCGCAGAAAGACATGCCCCTTGCCTCACCAAAAATGGTAAGGGCACTTGTCCTGCAACTGAACCATTCTTCTGGAAAGCACAGGTGTGATTTTTCATGATGACTCGTCCTAAACACGTTTCAGTCTGCAGTGAGTTTGCGCCAATTCGAAGTTGCTATGGCAAATCTGAAAAAGCACAACGCAGTGGCACATGATTACCTGTATAACATTGATCACAAGCGTTGGGTAAGAAATTGGTACTGTGCATGCGTGAAATTTATTGTGTGTAGGCGAGGTATGCGCAATGTAAAGAGACATTGGATTCCTCTGGCAACGGATGTTCATATATCAGGACTTATGGAATACGATGCAACAACAATACAGAAGATGAAAATGCACTACTTCGTCATAATCTGTCTGGATCATCCAACCCATTGAGATTTTTCCAGATTCTCGCTGAGCGTTGGATGGAAATACTTCAGAAATTATACCATGATTACAACCCCCCCCCTGGTGAAGAAGCAACTCTGTTCCTCTGTAAGAAAGTATTACAGGCCCATGAGAAGGCATGCACTGCAAGCAAGAGATGTGTAATACTAGATGATGTTGGGAACGAAAAAATGACGACAGTCACGGTACGGAATGCCGAGTCGAAGAGATTTATGTCATTCGTCAGTTTGAGCAAACAACAGTGCAGGCCTTGCTGGCAATGGGAACAGACAGGCAGAGCGTGTGTGCATGCTATAGCTGTTTATAACAAGATACACAAGGGAAATGTAACTGGCAAACAGCTGATCACATCTCTTTACGACCGAGTCTGGTTGGGCGATACTCTCCATGCCGCTTTTCAACATGAAGACTTCGAATTTGGAGAGTTGATACCTCATGAAGACGACATACCGTTCCCACGAGATGAGGAGGTAAAGCTGGATCCTCCCCCCTTTACAGCCAAGCGTAAAGGACGAGGCAGTGGTAGAATATCGAAGAAAGGATTAACGGAAAGGAACAACCATGGTTCTTCCAGCAGAAGATCCTTGCCTGATACAAGTATGAGTGATGATGACACCGGCAAAAGAGACGGACAGGGAGAACCTCGACCCAAACGACAAAGAACTTGTGGCAATTGTGGACTGCAAGGACATAACTCACGGACGTGTGAGAAGATGCATACAACTACCGATGAACTGAAAGGAGATCGTGATATTCACGACACACAATCTGTACCGTCAACCGGGAGAGTTGAAGATGACAATGTGCAGGATGGAGATGATACAGGACAACAAGGACCGTCAATGTTGATAGATCAGGATGATGAAGATGATACGGGACAGGAAGGACCGTCAATGTTGACACATCACGATCATGGAGATGGAAGATGTGAGTATCTGAAGAAGTGGATTGGAACAGAGCAGTACCGCAGGAAAGATGTAATCCAATATCTGACACAGAATCGTGTTTTTGTTATTTCACACACTGCATTGTCAAAGAATGATTTCAAAGCATTGCAACCTGGTCAATCGGTGCGAGACGAGGCGATCAATGCATTTTTGCAGTTGCTGATGATACGCGAAATGAACACTCGTCCAATGAGAGGAGATCAGAGGGATCGTGGACAAGGAAACATCTTCATCATCACAACATTCTTCTTCACAAGGTTGAGGCTATGTCACGAGCTTGGGAAGGTAGCACGGCATTGCCAGTTTTAAATCATTCTGATGTGCAATCACAGGCGAATGATGAAATCACAGAGGGTTACAACGCCTTACGACGATGGTTTCCTGCAGGGACGTGGTCAGATCACGAGCGAATATTCATCCCAGTGAACACGGGGCACCTAAACAAGGACAGCAAGGGGCAGATTGAAGGCGTGCATTGGAGTTTGATGGTTGTAGAACCATTTACCAAGATGATAAGGTGAGTGTGGGTAAATTGTACGCTGCATGGAAATATTCATCATGGGTAATGATTGCATTTCGTGGTAGGTTGTACGATCCTAGACACGATACACCTTCGACGTATATGCAAATAGTCGCAGGTGTGCGCATCGGATGAGGAAACAAAACGACTTGTTCTGATCGGTGAAATAGATTTCTTGCGATATGAATGGAAGCAACAGGGATTTCAAGGAGGAGAGACCTGGCAGCAGGAATACGTTCCTTCCAACAAGGTTAGTAGAGAAAATCCACATCCCTGATGATATTCACCAAGGTTGCCTGATACAGATCCCCAAACAAACTGATTCCGTGTCATGTGGCATATTTCTGTGTGCGATAGCTGACTGCCTGTCTGGTAACATGGAAGTGAATTCGTTTGGCCAAGGAGACATCGACGAGATCCGCAAGGCTATAGAAACTTTATTGAGAAACGTTTATTTATGCAAGAAGTGAACGTAGAGCAATGATACCCAATCATGATTTCGCAGTGTAGGCGACTGATACATCCTATAATGACCTCAGAATGTGGAGTGATGGATGGACGATGACCTTTCAATGTCCATTGTGACATTAAACAGCGAGAAGAGAAAAGACAGCGAGAACCAACCCTAATCCTGCCGACTGCTGTCCCCCAAACTGAACTGATACCTTCACCTTACTGTACGCAGGACCATTCTCCCGCGCCATGCCAGCGATGCCAGTCGCTGTGGCCGCCGCCGAAGGAATGAGGCTCGGACGCATACCGGAACGCCCCCGCGATGATGGCAGCGAAGGATAGGGAGGCCTTCACTGAGTCGGATCACCTCCAGCGATCCGCCAGCCAGCACAGAAAGCGCAACGCATATGGCAAGACTTGAAGGCCTTTGGCGACGATACCCTCCGATCTTCCTCTGTGCTGTTGCTTTCAGCTTGGTGTGGGTTGGTAAGCTCGCCTCAGTTGTTATAAAAAGTTCACTGGACACCCGGCGGGCCCGGAGATTCACTTGGAGTCGCCGGCGGCAGCGCGTCAAGTGCTGGGGCCCTGATTGTATGATAAGAAACCTCGTTTGCGTCGGTTGGTGAAATCTTTCAGATACAGCTGACATTCGACTGCCAATTTTGAGATACGAAAGGAGAAGTTTTCAAAAGGGTAGTTTTGGTCCCTTGTCTCCTTTTTGTCTCCTTGCCGTCCCGTCGCTGGACTTCTATTCCTCGCGCATGTCGACTGACACCAGACCTCGCGCCCGCATCTCCGACCGCATCGCCTGCGAGATCTACCTCTTCCGCCTCTCCCAGCCCTCTGATCAGCTCTGGTTCCCTACTCCCGCCAGCGTCGCTCTCGGCAGGAGGTACGGCATCACGCCCAAGGCCGTGCGAGACATCTGGAACAGGCGGACCTGGGCGCGTGCGACCCGCCACCTTTGGAAAGACAAGGCAGGACAGACCATGCCCCTGAAACAAGAGAGACAGGAGGGCGCTGGATCAGATAGGATGCTCAACGAGGAGGAGGAGGTCGTATCAACACTGAAACCTGAGCTGCGTATGGAAGAACAAATTCCATCTCCGTTGTCACCGCCTTCGAGGAGTCCTGCAAGCATACCAGCAACGGATGATATTGGAAACGAAGCAAACATCGTCGAGTCTCAAAGCAACGAGGCTACAGGCCTTGGGGACAGAACGGCAGACACGCACTGCGAGGGATGGCTGGTATGTCCTACACGCATATTACTGTTCATATCCGCGCAAGAGACGTCCGAGGACGATATCTGGTGACGCATTTGATGCGCTACAAGACAAGGATGTGCGAGATGATAGGGCAATAATTCAGCAACATATACCTCTTGTTAGATCAAATCAGACTTGTGTCGATGTATTGAAGGTGGACTTACAGTGAGTCAGGTTTGCTTGAATAAATCAATCTTTTGTGGTGAGTTTTTAATGGATCGAGTGTGCTGCAATCTCTGCACAGCTTTTACGAGTACTTGTGTCAAAATATTTCTGCTTCCAACTTGCCCTAATGCAACCAACTACTGTTACTGCAAGGTCCGCATTCATTGGAGTAGCTTGTTCATCGTCAAACTGAACTTAAATGCAACAAGTCGTTGTCATAACCAGCAACCCGAGCCCAACGCAGTAATGAACCTGGATCAGTACAAGGAGACAGAATGGATAACGCATGTTGTCTGTCACAGACACATACAACTCGGAGGTCGGAAGCATCTGACTTCGTGAAGCTTTACACGGGTTGCCAACGTCCACAGCGAATGCTCAAAGCTCCCGCGCTCCTTCTAGCTGAAGGAGCCCTAGCTTCTCTCAAGCTTCTGCTCCTCTCCTTACCTGGAATAAAGACTTGAGAAGCTGTCTCTGCCACCAGGGTCATCCTTTAGAATGCATCTAGCTAGTGTATGCTTGCAGTCGTTGGAGACAGGGTCCTTTTCCTGACTTTGTTGACGATTCTGATCCAGGCTAATCCTCTGGTCCAATCTGAGATGAGCTCGATGTACTAGAGCTCAAATAGACTTGCACATAGCTGTTCTCTTTCTTTAATCTCCGTTCTTCCCTCCTCAACATCCCGCTGCTCCTCCGTCTAGCTCCTCTTCCCCCCCGCTTGTCGAGATGAAGAGCATGATCCGCTCCGGGCACACCAGCCACCCCTCCCCCGTGTGAGTAGCCGACGACCCCCCGCTGCTCCTCCCCTCCTCCCCTGACCCCTGCCATGCCCCGCGCAGGGGCGTCGGCGAGAGGGAGCCAGAGGTGGCGGGTCGCGTGCGCCCAGGTCCGCCTGTTCCAGATGTCTCGCACGGCCTTGGGCGTGATGCCGTACCTCCTGCCGAGCGCGACGCTGGCGGGGGTAGGGAGCCAGAGCTGGTCGGGGGGCTGGGAGAGGCGGAAGAGGTAGATCTCGCAGGCGATGCGGTCAGTGATGTGGGCGCGAGGTCTGGGAGACATCGACCAGGCGAGGGCGAGGTAGTACACCCCCGAGTACTCCCACGTCAAGATCGAAGAAAGGCCGCAGAGAGGAAGTAGAAGATGCGCAGGGGAGCTATGAAGGTGGAGAAGGGGAGGGGGGAGGAGGGGAAGAAGAGGAAGAGGGGAGAAGGGGAACAGTTCTTGCCATGGAGGTCATGGAACCGGCATGATCTGCTATGACAATTTTTCGAAAGGGACCATATCTCACGCACCCCTGCGCACGGATCTGCGGGTGCTGAAGGAGTCGCATGCTGAAAAGACTCGTTTTCCTATCTCTCTGATGCCTGCCGCACTCCGAGTCGAATACAAGAACTTTACTACTCGCCGCCCGGTCGTGAAAGACACCCGGCGGGCCCGGAGATTCACGGCGGCCGGGCGGCGCGTGACACTCGGAGTGCTGGCGGTGAACCATTCACGATCGGAAACTGTACGTGACAGTTTTTTGCCAACCCTCTCGTTTGACGGGCTTGTGGAACAAGAGATTATCTGCATCTACAAAACTTGTCACGGTGATGACTATCAACTTGTGTATCTTTCCCGCTGGTGTGTGGAATCGTCATTTCCCCAGACACGTATGCTCGAAGTAATGCTCCAAGCCCGCATGCCACTGGGCATCAATCGCCTTGACGAAACCCATGGGATGTGCCACAGTACAAGGCTGAACGGGGTGGACGCGTTCCTGTCCTAGAATGTTTTGGGATGCAGACGGGGGACAGGGAGGAGAAGAATGAGAGCGATGGGAAAGAGGAGGTTCCACTGCCACTAAAGGTAGTGACATGGAAGCACGCATGGTAGAGGCTGACGACTCGCAACCTGCGATCGTCGTCGAAGGGCGCTGTTGGCAACATCTATGTACCAGTAACTCTCATATCTCTGTCGGTCGCTGACAGATTTCTTTGCAAGTAACTGGTACCTGACCACCTGGAATCACAGGAGAAACCTCTTCGTTTCTAAAAACCTTACCTGCATCCATCACACTTACACAGGATCAGATATGATTTAAATCCTGATGTCACAGCTTGCACACGACCAGCATTTGTGTCGACATACGAAAGGGGCGAGGCAGGGCCAGGAAGAACGGAATGCCTCGCAATAGGGGCATGTTTCTTACACGGGCCAGACAGAACAGGACGATGAGAACATTGCTGAAAATCATCGTCTGACATGGACTCTATGGATATATCATTAGTCGCGCCTCCCCCTAGCCTCTCATCACTTGTCATTCGCTCCTCTGCTCCCTCGTTTGTTCTCCCTCCTCCCTCCTCCCTCCTGTCTTCCTTCTTCTCTCCTCTCTCTCTCTCCCTCCCTCCCTCCCTCCCTCCCTCTCTCCTCTCTCCTCTGAACCTTCCTGTAACCATATCCCTACCAAACTTTGGAGGGATCTGATGCGTTAACGCTCCTCTCCTCTGGTCCAGCAATTGCAGCAAAAGCTCGATGCGGATAGTTTCTTGGCGGATGCAAGTTATCGATTAGAAGGCCTTTGTGTACTTGCATTGTCCAGATCTGATATCATACAATCTGTGTGATATCAGATCTGGACAAGTTGGTGCTGTTCTGGCCATCCAATGCTGCTACCTCTATCTGGGCCGGATAGGCCTGCGCATCTTACTCGGTAGTTAGACATGTAATCTGGTTTCCTTCCCAACAAGAGTTACTCTCCTCGTCACGGTGCTGCATTCCTTGTTGGACCTTTGGCCGCTACCGCTGGCTGCCCGGTCTGCAGCTTGTTGTGGAAGTAGAACTTCATTCTTTATCCCTTAACTTTGTCATACATGTATTGATGTATTGACGTCATTGAAGATCCGCCTTGACAGCTGTCGCTTATACAACCATGTAGCATGGCCATTAGAACCTTCCAATCTCCATGATCATCAGAATTTTCCTAGGCTTGACCGTCTCAACCGCTCCGCTGCTGCCTGCCTTCCGTTTCTGCTTACTCACTCGTGGGGCTTCTATTGAAGCCTCCCATCCACCCGATATCAGTTGCAACACCAGCCACTCTGTGTCATGATTCCTCTCTCTGATGCAGGCTTTGGGGTTGTATGTTGATATCGAGTGCACCATGCACACATTGACATCCAGATCTTGTTCCAGCAGCTCCGAGACCACTTCTGACATCTGCTTCGAGGTCAGAGGAGACAACGAGCTCTTGAACTTCGCTCCTCCTTTCCATCCTGTCTTGCTTGAAGAAGCTGGCCCCCCGAAAGTATAGTCTCTACCTTGCGTATCCTTGGCGGGAGCGTAGAAGCCCAGGGCCGTGGCAAGGGCGTGCTCTTGCTCGCTCTCTTTGACAGGGACCAGGTTGCACATGCACGAGGCGAGCATCTCCACGAAGCTTTCTTTGTTGGCAACAGAAGCAAGGATCTGATCCGCGCTCCTTGAGTCTGTCATGCCGCAGTGGTGAGCGAGATTTGTCAGAAGCTCCTGAGAAGGAGACCAGCTGCTGATCATCAAGACCACTGAACCGAACGACTCCAGCATGCTCCCAGCTCGCTTCCACGCATCCACGCTCAGAGGATTATCCCCCATCTTCGTCTTGCTGTGGATCTGCTTCAAGACCTCAAGTGCTGATTCCGATTTTCTTCCTGAGAAAGGCCGTCCCCCTCCCGCACAAGAAGCATACGAGATGGGGTCCAGCAGAGCAGAGGCAAAGCTCGAGGTCAGCTCAGCAAGATCTTTGTCACCTCTTCCGTTTGAGACTTCAACGGATGTCTCGTAAATGCCTCGGGGTGGTATTTCTGCTGAACGATCGATATTCAACAGGGCAAGCCCCTTGGAGATCAGAGACTGAGGGAAAGCTTCGTTCGGAATCGGCTGAAACATGCAGTAGATAGACTCGTTGGTCAACCTCAGCATTATTCTATTGATATCTGATTGTATATGATCCGAGATCTTTCGAATCAGCTTGGCAGGATCGACTTTCTTCGAATCCCTCAAACAGCGCAAGAAATGGGAGCACAGCCACGGATTGACATGGTCCAGCAGCTTGGGTACCTGCGCCTCGCCGAATACCCTTTTCAGGGCTTCTTCGGCATCGTCTGACGGCAGGATGTATCCAGGAAGACAGCGATGTGAGCAGCAAAGCAACTCATACCCCTTTTGCCGACTGTGTACAAAGGGCTGTGGTGGAGGTTGTACGAGATTCAAGATCGCAGTGTTTGTCCCCAGCATGATGCATTGTATGTTCGCATTCCTCAGTATCCTAATCAAGAAAACCAGCTTTGCCATGGGTGAGATGAGGTAGGTGTTGTCTTGCTCAGGAGGGAACACATCATCCAAAAGTACCCACCGCCTTCCCCAAGTCCTAGCTTCATCCACAGTGACTGGATCAACGGTAGTCGACTTGTTCCACAGGAATTTGAGGGCCCCTAGCACATACCAACCTTCCTGTCTATCGATATTGACATCCCAAACTCCCAATCGACATGTCTTATCTGATCCAGCAGCAAGCGAAATCACCCTGCTAAGATCACAGTCCAAGGCCTTGTTCAGAAGTCTCGTGACCGGTAATAGGCGAAAGTAAATGTCGTGCGCAGAATGCTCGTACACAGGAGAAAAGCGGAAGTACATGCTGTGGTTTGCATTCCGAACAAAGTAATCAGCAGCACAAAGCGACTTCCCGCTCCCAGCACAAGCTGCAATCAGGCTCAAGTAATCAGAGTCATGGTAATGTGATTTCTTTATCCTTTGATCGATTGGATTCATAGCACTCAGTTGCTTGCTCGGTTGCACCCGTGATGACGTTGAGTCCCATTCATTGTCAAGACAGCGATCAAGGCATTGCTTCAAGGACTTCAATACATCATCCAGGTTGATGTCTCTTGCGACTTTGGCCAGAGCTAGCAAGGGAGTGATCAAGAGCTATCGGAGATGACACACAGCGACTCACCACGAGTGAAACGTTCTTCCATGGCTCAGATTTGCTACAGGAGATCACTGTCAGCATCATCGTCATCATCATCATCATCAACATCATCATCAACAACAACAACATCAACAACAACAACAACAACAACAACAACAACAACAACAACATCATCATCATCATCATCATCAACAACAACAACAACAACAACAACAACAACATCAACATCAACGACAACATCATCATCAATGACATCATCATCATCATCATCATCATCATTAACAACAACAACAACAGCATCATCATCACCACCACTACCACTACCACCACCACCACCACCGCTCTACCTCTCTTCCCCCCCTCTCCCGCCGACTAGCGGCTAATGCTGATGCTCTGATCCAAGTGTCGGCCCATGGAGCCATCAGGATCCGTCAGATGCTGCCGGCATCGCATGTGCTGACCGAGCGAGCTCTTCTTCCCCTGCCCCTGCATCTCCTCTGGCGCCGCCGTTGCACGCAGAAGCAGCCAACTCGTGGTTGAACCAGCCTGGTAGGCTCAGCGGTTCCCTCACACGCCTCGACTATAGGGCTCTGAGACTCTATTTGAGCCTCTATGATTTCTACCCCAAGTAAGAGACTAGTGCTTCATCGGAACTCAAAACCCTCTGTCTCCCATCCCGGGTTGGCGGACATGCACCACCCACCCGTACCGTAGAGCCCCGGTCAGCGATAAAAGAACGGGTGCAGACCACGAAGCTGCGATGAAACCTTGTTAGGCCCTAGAAAGAAGACAAGCTCGGCCCCTCACACTCGCCCAAGCAACATCCGCCACGCTGCCGCAACACGTCACACAAGACAGCTGCACGCATCATGCCATCCTCGGACAGCTGCTCGCATCACGGAGTTCCGGCATGCGTGGATCACCACTGTGCTTCGTTGCTCATTAAACCAAAACTAGCTTCACTTGTTATTTCGAATACATTGTCCTGATCTTCCAACCTGAGAAGCAAAGAACACAACCGAAAACAAGAGGTAGAATTCCCAGTCGTTTCCATGAGTGCAACTTGTCAGTCTTGACACCTGGCAGTCTTGACACCTGTCAGTCTTGATATCCGGGACACAAGAGACATTCAACGAATGGACATGGGCAGAATCCGCATTCAGAACAACTTCAAGTTGCCATACATAGCTTTTACATCTTTGTTTCAATAAATCTCCAATTGCAATGCAGTGGGTTACCTTAACGTGACAGCTTGGTGTAATACGGGAAACATGGCTGCCAACAAAACCTGCCAAGAGGAATCATTCAAATCAGCTCGACAGGCCAAGGGCAAGAAGGCTGTGTGGTTTTATTGACATGGAGCTTACCCGAACCCTGATGGGCATCAAGCGGAGTGCTCTGCGGGTGCGAGAAAGGGCAGCGGGAAATGAGACGACATAGCCAGCTCGGAGAGCGGATGGAGGCAGCTTGCCTGCAGCGAGTGAGTGCTGCGTGTATATGGGCGAGAAGCAGCTCCTCCACCTGTTCTCCTATACGTTGCTGGACTCTGAGGCGCAGCATGCGGGCCTCAAGGTCTGATGGCGGCGGGTCAGTGTCATGCATCCATTGATGTCTGGCCTCACTGTCGTGCCACTCTACAGATTATGCAGATCATCTGAGTTCATAGCCTCGTGCAAGTCTGTGTCTGAAGCAATCTTCAAGCTTCTCCTCGTCCTCTTTCCGTCTTTGCCTTCTTCCATTACTCATGCAGAACGCTGTTTCAGTCGCAAAAGATGGAGACATCCAAGCTCTTATGAGATCTTCTGTGATCTTCTGTACGCTGCTGACCTTCTGGAACTGGCATCGGGCATTCATTTCTTGCATACCACCGTTTTCCATACTCTTGCTTCGGCTACAACTACCCTCCTACGACTAGTAGCTTTGACCCAAAAACGCTCCATCCAGTCTGCATTGAAGGAAGCTCTGCTTGCACACAAAACCTTAAACTCGTTGCATTCGTGACCTGTCGCATCACAACATTTACTTATACTTTATACTTAGTCTTGGTTTTCTAGCCATTCTTGATATTTGCGGTCTAAGTTGACTTCTTCAACAATATCTTGAGGCAGTTTGTCCCGCCACTTCGGGTCTCTGAAGTCATATCGAAATGACCTTTCACGTCCATTGGCATAGCGTCCAAGAAACATCCGGCCAGGCTCATGGTAAATCCCATCAACACGCCAGCCGCCATCATATTCAATGAACCTGTAGAAATCGAGGGGTGGAGCCCATGCAGTCTCAAACTCGAGATGAAAGGATAGGTCCTCGCGTTTCCATACAGGATCCGGAACATCCCATTTGGTGCCCCAGTGTTTATTGCTCCATTCGATAGGGCAATAATCTTCACGAGCTGGACGTGGCTTGAAATGCGAAAACACTCCCTTCCCATCTTGGGCGCCACGGATGTCAAGGTCCTTAAGACAGGCTTCAAACAAGTTTGCTGCAGCAGGAGTTGAAGCACACATCAACACTCTGTTGTAGCACATGTTGGGCATGATGTCTGTCCTATGAGAGCACGGAGCTACAACTCGCTTGATCGCCTGTCCTCAGGCTGCCGCTTTGACAAACAGGCTCGTGCGAGCCCGAGAGGCCCGTAGGCAGGTAGGGCGCGACTGGGGGGGGGGGGGGGGGGGGGGTAGTCAGGACTGTGGACAAGGGGTGGGTTGTCTCAGTCTACGTGGTGGGTCGGTACCAGGTCCGTCAACCTGGAGGGTACGGTAACGCTAGGCGTGGGGCAGCATGGCTACCGGTAGGAGGGCCGCTACCGCCAACATCGCTGTCTTTCTTGCTGGCGTGGGCGCCTGCCAGGGACCAGAGGGGGTCAGAAATGAAGCGTGGGGGTAGTCTCACTACGGGTGTTTTAATCAAATGAAATATAGGGTGTTCACTACCCATTGATAGGTGGGGGTACTAAATGGTGCGCCGCCATGCTCCATGAGGAGGGCCATTGGTGCACTTCATGCAACATCAGATCATGTTTCTCTGCATAGAATGAAAGGAAAACTGTTTTGATACTCATGTATCTTGCAGACTGTAAAAGATTTCATGATATATGTGACTTTGTGAGTTTCTGTTCAATTTTCACTGTATGGCATAACGCCAACATGTTGTTGGAGATAAATTCAGCGATCTGCTGCGTGCAAAATCACAGAGGCAAAGGAAGATGTATATTGAGTTGTGTATCATACTATCCATGTATCATACTAAGCCTGTGCTTGGCTGCTCACTTAAGGGGGAGCCTTACTGTCTTCGTACTGATTTTAACTTAACTTTGAGTAAACAACGGGAGCCAGCTTCTGATTCTCAGACTGAGAGAGAGAATAATTCACTGACAAGACGAGCAGCTCTTGCCGTGAGAGTCGAGCAGCTCTTGCCGAGAGTCTCGAGCAGCTCTTGCCGAGAGAGTTGAGCAGCTCTTGCCGAGAGAGTCGAGCAGCTCTTGCCGTGAGAGTCGAGCAGCTCTTGCCGTGAGAGTCGAGCATTTTGTTTTGCATTCTTTTTCCGAGAACCTGCTCAAGATCTTGCTGTTTATGTTTCTCACCCTCAAGTATTTGTCAGAAGGAGTTCAATTTCATGAGAAGCAAAGGGGTTCAGTTTTAATCAATTTTTCTCGGAATATCTTTCCGTGCTCTGAGAGATGCATTACTGACAAACAACGTACATGATATCCTTCCATCTCTCCAACATATCCTCTCATCTCTCTCATAACCTCCGCTGTTCATTGATAGCTTCAGCAAAATACCACCTATTCGTTCAGAGGTCACGAACGCTCATTGATGCCATTAATATTACACCCGAGCGCATGTAGTCAACCTCTTAGTCAGACGATTTGCTGTACAGGTAAGCAGGAGCGATACAAAGCTCTTGGATCCACAGCGTGGGGATCAGCGAGGACGGCAAGACGGCTGTCAGCGGGAACTGGGACAACACAGTGAGGGTGTGGGACCTGGAGGGGATGAAGGAGAAGGCTTGTCTGAGGGGTCCTAGGAATACGGTATCGCAACATGATCGCCTCATCGTCTACCTTCGTCCCAGTCGCATGCTCACCACTGAAAGGTGTCGCTCGTCTGCTCTTGTCTGTGCTGCCTTCTCTCCTCCTCCTCCTCCTCCTTTATCTCTTGTTGCGTATTCACGATTGGTGCTTTCCCTCCCCCCTTTCCTCCCCATCTCCCCATACAAGAAATGCCAGGATCTCCCGCCTCCTTCTCCTACCTCACGTTGTCGTCGGATCGACCTCGACGACCTTGTACCTCCCTGTACTCCGGGAACACAGACAGCCTTTTTTTCGACATGAACGCCAGCTCTGTCCCTCCCTTCGACGCGAGCTCGTCGGCGGGGAGTCTCCCGTCCCCTCCCGCCTGCTGGCATGACGCAGCCGCCTCCGACGTCGGCACGGTGAGGTTCCTCATCCCTCGCCACAGTACCATGGACCTTTCGGAAGCCTCGATGCTGGTGTGAGAGAGAGGCAAAACCGCCAGGATGGTCAAATGCCAGTGATGCCTCATGTTAATCGCCCAGATATGACAGCACAACATACAAATAGATCAACGCAGCAGGTCCCAGTGGACATGACTGCCCAGCAAATTCCCCCAAAGCGTGGAAAGAAAGCTCTTTTCACACCCCGGTCATCACCGAAGGGAGAGAAATTTTCACCGGGATGGACTCGTCGTTGAAGAGGATGGTGACGACGTTCCAGAGCCCCACCCAGATGAGGATCAGGCTGGGCTCCTCTAGCAGCTCCCAGATCATCCTGGCATGGATTTCCTGTGGAATTATTTAAGCCATCTATATACGGACAGGCTTCCGGAGCCTGAGCACAGGCCATACGCCCGCGGACTCGATGATCATGATAGCAGTAGCCTAGCCACTCAGTATCACATAAGCGCTGTCAGAAGTTCCATAGTTTATCTAGTGATCTAACTCATACTCTATGATACCTAAGAAGCCTCGATAAAGATCGTCTAATGAGCTGAAACGATTACAAATTAGTGTCATCTCAAGGCTTGTGTTCAACAGCGCTCCCCTTCTATGAACAGCATCGGCTGGTTGAAAGTCGTCCTGGTGGTGATGAGGATATTTGCGTCCGGTTCCGTATGAAGGGGCCGTCGAATATGCTGCGAAGCCTCAGGAGCGAGGAGGGTAGCACAGGGTCAACCTTGAATCTCCGAGAAGGTGATAACCGATGGCGGTGTCTTCGTTTCTGCTGTGAATGTAGAGCGCTCTTGTCTACCCCCCGAGACCTTGATACCCTCTTTGAGGTCATGGGTGATATGCAAGCGAGCAGCACATCAACTGGGAAGAGAAGCGAAAGGGCGAAAGCTGATACATACAATGCGACTCGATTCTTCCCACTGCTGCTGGTAGAGCACCGGGCAGTCCTCCGCGTCGCACCCTGTCACGAGCCGCATGCTCCCTACACAACTCACGCAGATCCGGCAGATCCGAGCAATATCTCGCTCCACCCTCCCCCGACGATACTGCATCGTGCACAGAGCCACTTGAGGAAGAGAAGTGCACTCCGCACAGACAGCCGTCCTGCAGCTAGCTGAGATGAACAGGGAGAGCAAGAGGGGAGGAGGAGCTCGGTCATGGGAGGAGGAGCGTCACCTGGAGAGCTGGTCGCAGAGGATACAGTGCATGCTCTGGAAGTGACTGCGGATGCTGTCTGCCTGAGAAGCGTGGTCCCTCAAGCTCCGCGCGTTCATCCCTCCCTGTCATGGTCTCTGCCATGGCACGTAGACAGTGTCTGCCATGCAGGAGTCACGAAGGGAGGGAGGGGAGGGAGAGGAGGGAGAGGGGGAGGGAAGGGGGAGGGAGGGCAAGAAAGGGTGGAGTTGAAGAAGAACTTTGCGCGGCTGTAGCGCGGCAGCTCGAGGAACCTTCGCCGTATTTCGACACCAAAGAAGGAGAGGAGGCGCGCGAGGCAGGGGATCAGAGCCTTGGTGATGTAGAACTGCGCGTTGATCCGAAGAATCCCAGACGAGGAGCTCCAGCCCGGGGGTCTCGGCGCACCTTGGTAACGTTTACAGTGGCAGCAGGGGGGAGGGTGGAGGAGGAGCTGCTTGACTCTCTCGGCAAGAGCTGGTCGAGCAGCCCAGCACATGGCAACCCAACCTCGCAAAGAGGTCAAGCCTCCTCTACTCTCCTTATTGTCCTCGTACTGATTTTAACTTAACTTTGAGTAATCCCTGGCAGGCGCCCACGCCAGCAACTCTACCGGGCAGAAAGACAGCGATGTTGGCGGTAGCGGCCCTCCTACCGGTAGCCATGCTGCCCCACGCCTAGCGTTACCGTACCCTCCAGGTTGACGGACCTGGTACCGACCCACCACGTAGACTGAGACAACCCACCCTTTGTCCACAGTCCTGACTACCCCCCCCTCCCCCCCCCCCCCCCCAGTCGCGCCCTACCTGCCTACGGGCCTCTCGGGCTCGCACGAGCCTGTTTGTCAAAGCGGCAGCCTGAGGACAGGCGATCAAGCGAGTTGTAGCTCCGTGCTCTCATAGGACAGACATCATGCCCAACATGTGCTACAACAGAGTGTTGATGTGTGCTTCAACTCCTGCTGCAGCAAACTTGTTTGAAGCCTGTCTTAAGGACCTTGACATCCGTGGCGCCCAAGATGGGAAGGGAGTGTTTTCGCATTTCAAGCCACGTCCAGCTCGTGAAGATTATTGCCCTATCGAATGGAGCATTGATCACTGGGGCACCAAATGGGATGTTCCGGATCCTGTATGGAAACGCGAGGACCTATCCTTTCATCTCAAGTTTGAGACTGCATGGGCTCCACCCTTCGATTTCTACAGGTTTATTGAATATGATGGCGGCTGGCGTGTTGATGGGATTTACCATGAGCCTGGCCGGATGTTTCTTGGACGCTATGCCAATGGACGTGAAAGGTCATTTCGATATGACTTCAGAGACCCGAAGTGGCGGGACAAACTGCCTCAAGGTATTGTTGAAGAAGTCAACTTAGACCGCGAATATCAAGAATGGCTAGAAAACCAAGACCAAGTATAAAGTATAAGTAAATGTTGTGATGCGACAGGTCACGAATGCAACGAGTTTAAGGTTTTGTGTGCAAGCAGAGCTTCCTTCAATGCAGACTGGATGGAGCGTTTTTGGGTCAAAGCTACTAGTCGTAGGAGGGTAGTTGTAGCCGAAGCAAGAGTATGGACGAGATAGGGGTGCTGCAGCTTCTCATACGGCAAAGCCACAACAGTGATGGTTGCGTATTGCCTGTTGTCGAGTGCTGCCGATACAGTCATAAGAGCTTGGATGTCTCCATCTTTTGCGACTGAAACAGCGTTCTGCATGAGTAATGGAAGAAGGCAAAGACGGAAAGAGGACGAGGAGAAGCTTGAAGATTGCTTCAGACACAGACTTGCACGAGGCTATGAACTCAGATGATCTGCATAATCTGTAGAGCGGCACGACAGTGAGGCCAGACATCAATGGATGCATGACACTGACCCGCCGCCATCAGACCTTGAGGCCCGCATGCTGCGCCTCAGAGTCCAGCAACGTATAGGAGAACAGGTGGAGGAGCTGCTTCTCGCCCATATACACGCAGCACTCACTCGCTGCAGGCAAGCTGCCTCCATCCGCTCTCCGAGCTGGCTATGTCGTCTCATTTCCCGCTGCCCTTTCTCGCACCCGCAGAGCACTCCGCTTGATGCCCATCAGGGTTCGGGTAAGCTCCATGTCAATAAAACCACACAGCCTTCTTGCCCTTGGCCTGTCGAGCTGATTTGAAGTTGTTCTGAATGCGGATTCTGCCCATGTTCATTCGTTGAATGTTTCTTGTGTCTTGGATATCAAGACTGACAGGTGTCAAGACTGCCAGGTGTCAAGACTGACAAGTTGCACTCATGGAAACGACTGGGAATTCTACCTCTTGTTTTCGGTTGTGTTCTTTGCTTCTCAGGTTGGAAGATCAGGACAATGTATTCGAAATAACAAGTGAAGCTAGTTTTGGTTTAATGAGCAACGAAGCACAGTGGTGATCCACGCATGCCGGAACTCCGTGATGCGAGCAGCTGTCCGAGGATGGCATGATGCGTGCAGCTGTCTTGTGTGACGTGTTGCGGCAGCGTGGCGGATGTTGCTTGGGCGAGTGTGAGGGGCCGAGCTTGTCTTCTTTCTAGGGCCTAACAAGGTTTCATCGCAGCTTCGTGGTCTGCACCCGTTCTTTTATCGCTGACCGGGGCTCTACGGTACGGGTGGGTGGTGCATGTCCGCCAACTGAGTTCCGATGAAGCACTAGTCTCTTACTTGGGGTAGAAATCATAGAGGCTCAAATAGAGTCTCAGAGCCCTATAGTCGAGGCGTGTGAGGGAACCGCTGAGCCTACCAGGCTGGTTCAACCACGAGTTGGCTGCTTCTGCGTGCAGCGGCGGCGCCAGAGGAGATGCAGGGGCAGGGGAAGAAGAGCTCGCTCGGTCAGCACATGCGATGCCGGCAGCATCTGACGGATCCTGATGGCTCCATGGGCCGACACTTGGATCAGAGCATCAGCATTAGCCGCTAGTCGGCGGGCCCTGAGAGGGGGGGAAGAGAGGTAGAGCGGAACAGCGTCAGAAGGGTATCGAGAGACGAATAGTAGTGGTGGTGGTGGTGGTGGTGATGCTGTTGATGTTGTTGTTGTTGTTGTTGTTGTTGTTGTTGTTGATGATGATGATGATGATGATGATGATGATGATGATGATGATGATGATGATGATGATGATGATGATGATGATGATGCTGACACTGATATCCTGTAGCAAATCTGAGCCATGGAAGAACGTTTTACCAGAAGTGAGTCGCTGTGTGCCATCTCCGTTAGCTCTTGATTACTTCCTTGCTAGCTCTGGCCAAAACCGCAAGAGACATCAACCTGGATGATGTATTGAAGTCCTTGAAGCAATGCCTTGATCGCCGTCTTGACAATGAATGGGACTCGACGTCGTCACGGGTGCAACCGAGCAAGCAACTGAGTGCTATGAATCCAATCGATCAAAGGATAAAGAAATCACATTACCATGACTCTGATTACTTGAGCCTGATTGCAGCTTGTGCTGGGAGCGGGAAGTCGCTTTGTGCTGCTGATTACTTTGTTCGGAATGCAAACCACAGCATGTACTTCCGCTTTTCTCCTGTGTACGAGCATTCTGCGCACGACATTTACTTTCACCTATTACCGGTCACGAGACTTCTGAACAAGGCCTTGGACTGCGATCTTTGCAGGGTGATTTCGCTTGCTGCTAAATGAGATGAGGCACGTCGATTGGGAGTTTGGGATGTCAATATCGATGGACAGGAAGGTTGGTATGTGCTCGGGGCCCTCAAATTCCTGTGGAACAAGACGACTTCCGTTGCTCCAGTCACTGTGGATGAAGCTAGGACTTGGGGAAGGCAGTGGGTACTGTTGGATGATGTGTTTCCTCCTGAGCAAGACAACACCTACCTCATCTCACCCATGGCAAAGCTGGTTTTCTTGATTAGGATACTGAGGAATGCGAACATACAATGCATCATGCTGGGGACAAACACCGCGATCTTGAATCTCGTACAACCTCCACCACAGCCCTTTGTACACAGTCGGCAAATGGGGTATGAGTTGCTTTGCTGCTCACATCGCTGTCTTCCTGGATACATCCTGCCGTCAGACGATGCCGAAGAAGCCCTGAAAAGGGTATTCGGCGAGGCGCAGGTACCCAAGCTGCTGGACCATGTCCATCCGTGGCTGTGCTCGCATTTCTTGGACTGTTTGAGGGCTTCAAAGGAAGTCGAGCCTGCCAAGCTGATTCGAAGCATCTCGGAGCATATACAATCAGATTTCAATAGAATAATGCTGAGGTTGACCAACGAGTCTATCTACTGCATGTTTCAGCCGACTGTCAACGAAGCTTTCCCTCAATCTATGATCTCCAAGGGGCTTGCCCTGTTGGATATCAATCGTTCAGCAGAAATGCCACCCCGAGGCATTTACGAGACATCCGTTGAAGTCTCAAACGGAATAGGTGACAAAGATCTTGCTGAGCTGACCTCGAGCTTTGCCTCTGCTCTGCTGGACCCCATCTCGTATGCTGCTTGTGCGGGAGGGGGACGGCCTTTCTCAGGAAGAAAATCGGAATCAGCACTTGAGGTCTTGAAGCAGATCCACAGCAAGACGAAGATGGGGGATAATCCTCTGAGCGTGGATGCGTGGAAGCGAGCTGGGAGCATGCTGGAGTCGTTCGGTTCAGTGGTCTTGATGATCAGCAGCTGGTCTCCTTCTCAGAAGCTTCTGACAAATCTCGCTCACCACTGCGGCATGACAGACTCAAGGAGCGCGGATCAGATCCTTGCTTCTGTTGCCAACAAAGAAAGCTTCGTGGAGATGCTCGCCTCGTGCATGTGCAACCTGGTCCCTGTCAAAGAGAGCGAGCAAGAGCACGCCCTTGCCACGGCCCTGGGCTTCTACGCTCCCGCCAAGGATACGCAAGGTAGAGACTATACTTTCGGGGGGCCAGCTTCTTCAAGCAAGACAGGATGGAAAGGAGGAGCGAAGTTCAAGAGCTCGTTGTCTCCTCTGACCTCGAAGCAGATGTCAGAGGTGGTCTCGGAGCTGCTGGAACAAGATCTGGATGTCAATGTGTGCATGGTGCACTCGATATCAACATACAACCCCAAAGCCTGCATCAGAGAGAGGAATCATGACACAGAGTGGCTGGTGTTGCAACTGATATGGGGTCGATGGGAGGCTTCAACAGAAGCCCCACGAGTGAGTAAGCAGAAACGGGAGGCAGGCAGCAGAGGAGAGGCTGAGACGGTCAAGCCTAGGAAAATTCTGATGATCATGGAGATTGGAAGGTTCTAATGGCCATGCTACATGGTTGTATAAGCGACAGCTGTCAAGGCGGATCTTTAATGACGTCAATACATCAATACATGTATGAGAAATTCAAGGAACAAGAATGAAGTTCTACTGCCATAACAAGATGCAGACCGGGCATTCGTAGATTAGTCAGAGGCCAGCGGTAGCGGCCAAAGGTCCAACAAGGAATGCAGCACCGTGACGAGGAGAGTAACTCTTGTTGGGAAGGAAACCAGATTACATGTCTAACTACCGAGTAAGATGCGCAGGCCTATCCGGCCCAGATAGAGGTAGCAGCATTGGATGGCCAGAACAGCACCAACTTGTCCGGATCTGATATGATACAATCTGTGTGATATCAGATCTGATATCAGAGAATGTGTGTGTGTGTGTGTGAGAGAGAGAGAGAGAGAGAGAGAGAGAGTGAGAGGAGAGAGTGAGAGTGAGAGAGAGTGAAAGAGAGTGAGAAAGAGAGACAGAAGAGAGAGAGTGGGTGAGAGAGCGGGAGAGAAGAGAAGAGAGAAGGAGGAAGACAGGAGGGAGGAGGGGGAGGGAGCAAAGGAATGAATGAGAAGTTAGGGGCTAGAGGGAGGCGCGAAGTGCAAGAAGCAGGAAGGAGATGATGGAGAAAAATGTGAATACGAAGAAGATGAAGAATGAAAGGTCTCAAGCGCAAGCGCAAGGCAATGAGTGGAGAGATAGGCACAGACAGGTTGCCGAGATCAGAATGAGGTGGAGGTTGAGATGGTGGAAATATTTTGACTTGAATGGTCTAGAGTAGAGAGGAGATCAGAAAAATCACAAATCAAAGATAACATGTGAGGCGAAACAAGAGGAGAGGAGAGCGAGAAGGAGTAGGCAAGAAGAGGAGGGGAGAGACTTGTATGGTTTGACAAGAGGTCACGAAGTTGCAGGAGGGAACCCGGCAGAGGACGGAAGGTCTCAAGATGACTCGCGCTCATGCAGAGCGAGCGCAGCCCTTATCGACGCTTGGGTGAGGGCTGGAGGCGTCTGACTTGCTGCTTGCCTTATGCTCCCTTCCTCCCGTCGACGCCTCCAGCTCGCATGGTGACGTGAAAGACGTGCTAGACGTGCTCTGGTGGGAGCAGCTGGCTGACATTGCTTCAGGTCTGCAGGAACATCTTCTTAGGAAGGAGAGAGGGCGGAGCTGCTGGAGGCGATCGAGAGAGGAGACGATGTAAAGAGAGTGTGGGACCTGGAGGAGATGAAGGAGAAGGCTTGTCTCGAGGGACATGGTCATACCGTCAACAGCGTGGGGATTGGCGGGGGTGACGACGATACAGTGAGAGTGTGGGACCTGGAAAAGATGAAGGAGAAGGCTTGTTTCACATGTCTTGGGCTCGATGTTGCACGTGGCGGCGTCGGGAGGCGTCTGGTCTGTCAGTCAAATGCTGCTGGAGGGGGAGCTGAGAGACTCGCTCGGACGGACAGCAGGGGAGGTGGTGTGAAAGAGGCTGTAGGCATCGGTGCAGCCCTGCCTGGATTCATATTTGCTGCTGGATTCATGCTTGCTCCCATGTTAGCAGTCGGCGCATGCCACGTCATCTGGTGACTATGCCCCTGGGTTGTTGGAACAGTTGGACTCCACGGGCATAGCTTGAGCTCACCCAGCACTCGATTTTCGTTTGCACTTGTGTTGCTCTGGCTGTCACCATTGCCGTTCGCGGGCCCTATGTTGCTCTTGCTTGTTTCTGTCATCAAGGTGAGTGGATAACACTCCTGCAAACTCCAATCTCAATGCTGTACACTGCATCGACAGCAGCTCCTTTACCTCAGCCTGGACGCTCTGCGCCATCCAGGAATCGCCGTGTGACACAGGAAGAGCCCATCGGAGATGCAAGGGACTTTGCGCTGCTGTTCCGATGTTACCTCTTCGCTCGTGAATTCCACTCTTAGTGGAGGGAGCGCAGAGCTGGGAACCATCGGTAATGGTCATTCACGATAAGCAAGTGTGCGTCTCGGGCATCAAACCTCAGCGAAGCTCCCAGACTTTTGCAGGATCTGCAATGCTCTGGCAAACTCCTCAAGAATATCTTGTACGGTGTAGTCGTTGACGTATCTCCCCAAGTCAAGGTTGATGTCGAAAGGATCCTCTATGCAAAGAATATGCCTGTGACCCGTGAGCAAGTTGAAACGTTTTGAATGAAGGGCTCTTACCTGTTTCTGAAGTCTTCCGGGGTATCCCATCCCTTCGCCCTCTTCCTGAGAAGCCTTCCGCTTCGTACACTCACAACTCCTTGATCAATCGAACAGACTGAAAACATGCTTTAGTCGGCGTTGCTGCATCCATTCCGGTGTACCATTGGAGTAGAAGTGGAAGAACCCAACGAGAAGAAGCCCCAGCGATGAACGCTTGTTCCTTTCACCGAAACCTGGAGAACGTTCATCGAAGAAGCGAGCCTTGCACTGTTACTCGCTAATGTCTCAACGTTTCTATAGAAGTAGCAGTCGTACAAATCTCCGTCACTGGAAACAGCAAACGATGGATCGTTGTTCAGCTTGGCCTGTACGCGCCGCAGACTTTGCAAGCACGGCAGCACTCGTTCATACTGCAGGTATTGGATTACCATCAACGTATACGTGTAAGAACTCAGATAGCCTCTGAAGGTATTGTGAATTTGACGTTGCTTCACCCAGTGCTTGATGCACATGATCAGCGGCCTGACCCTCTTGTCCAGCATGGTGTATGTGAACAGCAAGTCGGTATTGATACAGGCAAGGACATTGTTGACACTCAGATCGCAGTCAAAGGCAAATCCCTTGAACTTGATGATAGGAAGTCGGGCATTGGGCCGAGCCTCAACATTCAACATTCCTTGCCTTTCCAGCAGCCTAGCAAGACCAATGAGAAAAGATGTAAATTTTTCTTTCTTTGAGTTTTCCGTCATCCTGCGACTGCTCCTTGATTCTTTTGAATCTCATCTTCAGGAATAACAAGACACATGTCTACATCTGAGCCCTTGGAGCCAAGGTTGCTCCCAGATGAACCAAACATCTGTACTGTAGAATTTGGATAAGTGCTAGCAATGATCGTGTTCAATGCTGTGCAGGCGCTAATCTTGCGATCGATTTCTTCTCTAGGAGGACAGATCTCCGCCACAAAACTCATGCAATCATTAGAGAGGAGATCCATATGTTTGGCTTTCACCTTGGGCTTCACAATGCTCGTACACAAAGTTGGCGGATGTGTGTCGAGACTGGTCGTGAGGTGCTCATAACTGACCCCTGCAGCACCCCTGTAATAGGCTCCTTGCTCAATAATCGCGCTATCGGATTCATTAAGACGCCTGCCAGCACTTGGAGATGGAGGTGGAGATGGAGTTGGAGATGGAGAAGAGATTTCGTCGTCGAGTAAAGAAAATGGGTTGATAGGTTGCCTGCTCATTGCCGTTGGAAATCTCCTCCAAGACATTTTCAAGAAAAGAATGCAAACAACAGGGCAAGCTCAGCAAAAGATACCTCTTCCTAAAAAGACATGAATATGTTTCTTTTCCTCCTCAATCTCCTAGTACGCTAACTTCCATCTCTTGCACTATCCAGCTTAGATTTGTGGTCAAAGAAAAAGAAATCCTTCTTTTGGACTGAAAGCAACATGTAGAGGGGAAACGTTTCGATCAAAGAGCTGTCGACATATGCAGGGGGGGGGGGGGGGGGGTAGGTAGATTACGCGTCAAAACTGATCGTTGGAAATCAGATGGAAAGGAAGCCTAGGTTGTATGATAGCCTCTAAATACTGGGATACTTATTATGAAATATCGACCCTTGACACGAGCTGTACATGATCATTTTAGCTTCGTATACATGTACCCACCCCTCTTGTGAAGTGACAAGTTAGCAGCGAGCTAGAAACTGGGGAGAGGTCTTTGAAACTTGTTTATAAATTTGTACCACGAGAAGTCTTTACAAATTTGTTAGCAGACTACCCCACGATCTGACTGTAACTTCTGGGGTGTAGCCCTACTTCCCTATGTGTTCGTAATGCTGGGATCTGTTGACTGGTTGCGGGCGGAACTGAAGTCATTCTTAGAGGCTTTGGGTGAGCAGCACCAATTAGCGTAGCATCGGAAGTTCATTGACTTTGTCCTCACATATGAAAGTCTCTGTCTCTGTCCCTTGGTATCGAGAAAGAATACTCAGTGCAGCATTGATGTCACGAGACACAATGCGAGTTTTGAAAAATTTGGTGGACCCACACCATGCTCGAAGTGAAATTGAAATTGAGTCACATCAAACACGCGTTTGAAAGTTTTGTTCGATCCATTTAACGGTCCTAACGCCCTATTCATTCCTTCCACAGCACTGCAAGAGGCACTTCCATAGGCAATGATTGCCTCAGATAGACTCCTTTCTTTCTTCCCTTCATGGTTTGAAAGAAACGATCGGCAGCCTTCCTTTGGTGAATGTAGTTGTCCATTCTCATCATCCCGGGCCACATTTCCTTTTGCCGCTGTAATGGATGTGCACGACATCGAACAACCCAACACCGCAGTAAGTGACTGTTCAAACTGATGTTGCACCCGCATGACGTTACGTCAGTAACGGACATGGCAGCATCATGCGAGTAGTCGCAAGAGGCTACGTACGCTGGCGAGGTGTATAATGCTAGAATCGAAGATGTGTACTGGACGTAGACGTACGTACAACACATTGGTATGATGAAAGCATGAGGCTGGTATAAACCGATACACATGTTCACTCATTGCTGTATTACGGGTTAAAGCCTGACCTCGACATATAAGCAACCCATCTAGACGTTGGCCACGTCACCGGAATGGGATTGCACGAACATTGACGTGTGTTCTCTTACTGCTGTACATAAACAAATCTAGCTTCATTCCTCATCTGTTCTACTCCTAAGTGCACTATCGCTCAGTTGCTGGACTATACCCGCATCACAAACAAGTCGATGAGACTTGTCTTGAAAGTGAATTCTTCCATTACAGTCCACACAACTCCTGCGCACATGTTGGCCGGGGCCCCATAGGGCCGGGCCCGACTAAGACTGGGCTGGAAGTGGACTGCGGCCCGTACAGCATTCTCCGATCTTATACGTGCAACCACTAAACCAATCAGACATATGTGCATGCGAGTCCAGGATCTCAAAACCTGCAGGCCCGGGGCACCGAGTAGCATGCGCGTCAACAGCCAGCTCAGCACCGACGTGCAGCTTCCAAGTCGGCATCACTGTGAAAGTACTTCGATGTCTGGGTGGACGGCTCCTTTCAAAGCAGGCGCCTGCAGACGGGCGGGTCTGAAGGCCAGTATGACAGGTTCGAGCGGGTGCAGGTGCCTGCGACTGCGAGGAGCGTCGGGTCTGTCATGGCTGATAGCTTCGAGCGAGGTCAACTGCTGTGCCTACCAGGGCTACTACCTCTATGCTGTCATGGATGCCGAGCTCTGTCAAGCCTGCCCCATTGGATCGTACAAGAGCGCCCCCGGGTCTGCCAACTGCTCTGCCTGCCCCCGCAACATGGACACGCCCGCGACAGGGTCGACCGACGCGTCAGCCTGTCCGTGTAGGGTAGGAACGTACAGGAACGGGTCGGGGGCGTGCGAGCTGTGTCCAGGAGGGTCGGGATCAGCGGCAGGCGCGTCGTCGCTGTACGAATGCTCTTCGGTTCATACTCCTGTTGTACAATCGTCTCTCCACGCAAGCGTTGAAACGACGCCTTCAGTGGGTTTTCAAGGACAGTTAGCAATTTGTCTATCACGACCAAGACTCTCGAAGCAGTTGCAACGATCATCACTACCTCCACCATCATTGCATCCTCAACTGTCATTACAAGTTCCGTCGTGACGATGGCTCTTCCTGCCCTTGCGTCGGTTAGTGGAACCACAGCTTCAGATTCTGTTTCGGCATCGGCCACGTCATCAGTCACGGCATCAGCATCAGCGTCGTCAGGTCGCGAATTACGGCGATGCCATGGCCTCGAACCAGGAGTTGCTGTCTACCTTGGTCTCATGCGTCGCCTCGCTGGCTGTCGCCTCGCTGGCTCGCGTTTCTCTCAGCAAGCTCTACATGATCGGGAAGCGTCGCGCGCCCTCCGACTCCGACGTCCTCTTCCCTCCGTTCCTCGCCTGGGAGCTGCCGATAGCAGTCACTCAGGTACAAGGCTTGTCATTGGCGATCTTCCTCGCGATCAGAAGTGGGTGCGTGGTCTGTGTTGGGATGGGCTGCCTGCTGCTGCCGCTTGTGAAGGCCGAGCTCGATTTGTTTTGCTACTACGCCCACCGAGGGCACAGCACTTTGATCTCATGGAGAGCGTGGGAGGAGGCGAAGGGGATAGGAGACAAGATAGGAGCTGTAGGAGCTGTCTTTGCGCGAGGGGAGTGGGTCATCGACGACAAGAGCGACAAGTTCATGGCGTCCTGGCTGTATATGAAGCGTTTCAGAGTGCTGCTGGAGGAGGTTTGCGCGCACGCCTGGTGGTATGGGGTGTACTCGATCGTGATGCGGGCCTTGTACTCTTGACGGTCTCTATCCCCTTGTTCTCGGATGTCGTCAGGACCTCGATCATGTCAGCCTTTGTGTTGGTGGACCTCCTGCTCGTCATCGCCTTCACACCTCAGATCGACTGGCTCGCATGGCTATCGCACTTATTGGCAGCTCTGGGTAATCTGGGCATATGTCTGTCGTTGTTGACATCCGCGGTCTTTGCGCTGAGACCTGACTTGCTCAACATGACGTACCTGGTCTGTTTGCTCCTTGCCATGTTGCCCATGACATGTATCAGTACGTGTCGGGATGGGTACAAGGCGCTCAGTGCGTTGTCTTGTCTGTCGAGTCGAAGAAAGAAGCATGTTCAAGTAGCTGCCAGTGAGCACCTGCAACATGAAGCTTCGACCGCTGCCTCTCTCCAGGTCATCGTTAGTGATGAACAATCTTAACACCTTACAACGTATGTACAACAAAAGCTATAGCCAATGGCACCAACTTCTCTACCCGCCTCCGTCTCTACATGCCTCCGTCACTACACGTCCTCGTCACCACATGCCTTCGTCTCTACACGCCTTCGTCTCTACACGCCTCCGTCTCTACACGTCCTCGTCACCACATGCATTCGTCTCTACACGTCCTCGTCACCACATGCCTTCGTCTCTACACGCCTTCGTCTCTACACGCCTCCGTCTCTACACGTCCTCGTCACCACATGCATTCGTCTCTACACGCCTTCGTCTCTACACGCCTTCGTCTCTACACGCCTTCGTCTCTACACGCCTTCGTCTCTACTAGGCTACACGCCTTCGTCACCACACGCATTGACGTCTCTACACGTCCTGGTCTCTACACATCCTCGTCACCACAAGCTTCGTCAATTTACGTGTCAGTACACAATATCCTACACACCGACCTACTCAAGCTAACAAGACTTCTGCTTTACCTGATCGGATCACACCGTTCAACACCGGCCCTGGCCCGGGCTCAGTGTCACTTCACGGACAGCCTGCCGGGCTTCGCCCGGTGCCGGCCCGGCCCGGCCCGGCAATGTGACGGTCGGACTCACAGGGACTTGCTGGCTGGAGGCACGTGAAGATCTTGAGCGGGGCTCGCACCCGTACCTCAAGGCTTCAAAGTACCGGTGGTCGTGGAACTCTTTCCCCTCTCCAAAGTTCCATTGCTCCGCTTGCTGCTGTTCCTGCATAAACCATTACCCTCCTACCCCTCCGCTTCTCTGCCCTCCTCCTGCTCCTCCTGCTCAGCAGCTCCCCTGTGCTGTCCTCCATCTATACCTCTTGCCATCCCCGAAGAGTCGCCATGTCGGAGAGCACCAGCAAGGCCGAAGAAGCAGTCTTGATCCAGTCAGTGCCGATGCCTGCTGGCTCGGTGAAAGTGAGGGGATACGACTTCAACGAGGGTCTCGACTACGATCGTCTCCTTGGAAGCTTTCTGAGCAGTGGTTTCCAAGCGACCAACTTCGGGCTGGCGGTCGAGGAGGTCAATAAGATGCGCCAATGGCGCCTCAGGTGAAGTTGCGTAGTGACTGCTGTGTTTGCTGCTATCCCTCCTCCTCCTCCTCCTTTCCTGTTGAGATGGCGACCAGATCGATCGCTTGCTCACTCATAATCCGATTGATTGTTTCGCAGCGACGAGCCTGTTGCTGAGGACGAGGACGAGGAACTGAAGAGTATCGAGGCGAGAAGCAAGGTCAAGTCAACTATCTTCTTGGGGTACACGAGCAACATGGCGTCTTGCGGAGTGAGGGAGACGATCCGATATCTGTGCCAACACAAGATGGTCGACGTGGTGGTTGCCACTGCTGGAGGGGTAGAGGAGGATTTCATCAAATGCCTGGCCCCGACGTACATCGGAAGCAAGTATGGAGATGGAGGCTTGCGGTTGTTGTATGATTCACGAATTATGATGATGTTGACAATGTCATTGTCTTGGTCCCTGCGCAAAGTTGACAACAGCAACAGGAACCCCCTCCACCCTGAAGTAGCCAGCGGGTTTGACCTCGACGGCAAGACCCTGAGGAAGCAAGGTCTGAACAGGATCGGCAACATGCTGGTACCCAACGAGAACTACTGTCGCTTCGAGGAATGGTTGATGCCCATTCTCGACAAGATGCTCGATGAGCAGGTGAAGACAGTCTCCTTCCCTCTCAGCTGCTCCTCCTCCATTCTTTTCGTCTCCTTCGCACTTTCTGCAGCTTCCGCTCCCCTTCCACCCTCCGCTTGCAGTTTTTGTTCTCTTTACTTCTTCCACTCAGCTCGCAACCGGAGAGCCCTGGACTCCTTCCAAGTTCATCAAGAGACTGGGACTGGAAATCAACAACCCTGAGAGCATCTACTACTGGTGACTCGACCCTCCTCCCGCCCTCCTCCCGTGTTCCCAGAAACCTCTTGTTCGCCTTGTTTCCTCCCTCCCTCCCTCCCTCCCTCCCCTCTCCCTCCCTCCCTGCTTCTGCCCGTCCCAAGACTTCTCCATAGCTCTGTTCTTCCCATCCTTTTCCTCTTCCTCTCGTCCCTCTCTTCTCCCTCCTTCTCAAGACGCTTTCTCCAGGTGCGCCAAGAACGATATCCCCGTGTTTAGTCCGGCTCTCACCGACGGGTCCATTGGCGACATGCTCTTCTTCCATTCTTACAAGGTGAGCCAGTCGAACGACAGGGTAGTGCTGAGATACTGCTGGTGGTGGTGGTGTTGCTGCACCTGCTGCACCTGCTGCACCTGCTGCTGCTGCTGCTGCTGCTGCTGCTGCTGCTATTGTTGTTGTTGTCATTGTAGATGATGATGTGCTGCTATTGTTGCTGGTGGTGGTGCTGCTGGAGTCATTGCGATGAGCATCATTGAAGGAAGTAGGGAGGACGCTGATGCTCTCCTGCAGCGAACTGGACTCGTGCTGGATCTAGTTGGCGACATCCGCGAGATCAACATGAAGGCGATGAAAGCAAGGCACACGGGTGCAATCATCATCGGTGGAGGTGAATTCTCGTGTGCATTTGGCAAGAGAGTAGATGGAGAAAATGGAGAGGAAATCGATGATGGCGATAATGATTACGATGAAATCGATGATGATGACGACGCCGACGATGACGACGATGACGACGTGTATGATGTGATGATGATGATGATGATGATGATGATGATGATGATGATGATGATGATGATGATGATGATGATGATGATGACGACGACGACGATGATGACGATGATGATGATGATGATGACGATGATGATGATGAGGAGGAGGAGGAGGAGGAGGATGGTGGTGGTGGTGGTGGTGAGGACGATGATTGCGACGATAGTGACGATAGTGACGATGGTGACTATGATAACGACGATGATGGATGTGGTCGATGATGGTGACAAGAATGCAGGCGTCGTAAAGCATCACATCATGAACGCAAATTTAATGCGAAATGGATGCGACCATGCTGTCCTGATCAACACAGGTGATGCTGTGGAAATCGAGAACGTTGTTGAGGAGAAAGTGGTGGTGAAGAGGAGGAGGGTGAGGAGGAAGAGCAGGAGGAGGAGGAGAAGGAGGAGGGGGAGGAGGAGGAGGAGGAGGAGCAGGCGCAGGAGGAGGAGGGGTTGGTAGTGAAGAGGAGGAGGAGTGGGGTCAGAATGACGATGACGAGGAGAGGTGGTGATGAGGAAGAGGTGGAGAAGATATTCATACATTCCGTGACATGTGGAGCTTCAGGTCAGGAGTACGACGGCAGCGACAGCGGCGCAAAGCCGGACGAGGCGATTTCATGGGGAAAGATTAAGATGAACGTGACGCCTATCAAGGTAGAGGATCGGGACGACTATCCTCCTTCCTCCCCTGCGCTCTCCTACAGTCAGAATCTGTATCTCCCTCCCTTTGCATCCCTTCCTTCCCCCTGCTCTCCTCGTTGTCGTCTGACCATGATGCCGCAGATCTACGCAGAGGCCACCATCGTGTTCCCCCTGCTAGTGGCGCAGACGTTCGCGAAAGATGGCCCACGCGAGAAAGTTTGAAGTATCGTTTCATACAGGAGTGTACCTCTCTTCTCTAGAAGGTTGAAAAAGCGAGGGAAGAACTACTAGACGAGGAAGTTGAGAATGAGGTGGAGACTAGGTCGACTCTGGTTGTCCCATCCCCAACTCACCTTCCCTCCTCCCTGCTTGCATCGTTCACTTCCTGCGGCTCAAGCTTCGCATTCGGGCGAGATCAGCCTGGTACTCCCTGTAGGCATCGAGTCCTCTCTTGTACGAGCTCATCCTCGACTTAGGTGTCCGAGCCGCACGGGAGGGAACCTGATGGAGAGACACGCGCTGGGACTTGTAGTCCATGGGGTCGCCCATGTCGTCGGGGATCCTGCTCTCATGCTGACCCAGGCAAGAGTCAGACAAGAAGGCAGAGAAAAGGAGAGAGATGGGCGGTGGTGGTATTGGGGGGTTGGGAGGTGAAGGAGGAGAGGGAGGGAGGGAGAGGGAGGGAGGGAGTGAGAGAGGAGAGGAGAGGGAGGAAGGGAGTGAGTGAGTGAGTGAGTGAGGGAGGGAGGGAGGGAGGGATAGGAGGGGAAGAAGCAAGTCATAACAAGATCTCACATAGCGATAGTCATCTTCGTTGTCCCACGGCATTCCATCGAGCTTCACCCCGAGCCTGCTCAGTCGTTCCTCGGGAGTAGTTCGGTTCTCCAGCTTCTGCATGATCCTCTCTACCTCCTCGTCCGCTGCCTCTTCCGCGGCCGAAGTCTCATTGCTGTTGGAGGATTCATCGTCGATACCATCGTCCTCGTCCTCCCAGAACCACCTTCCGACATGGACCCCGGCACGCTGGAGAGGCCTGCGGTTGTACAGGTCGTAGTCAGCCACATCGTCGGGTATCTCAGTAGCGCTGCTGTTTTCGTCTGCCTCCGCGCCTCCTCGTCCTCCTTCCGGAGGGCTGACGTATCCGGGGAGGGTCGGGATCTCATGGTAGTGGGGCCAGTTGTCCAGGTTTACACCATGGCACTCCAGCACGTCGCCTGTGCACTTCTTCTTGGACGAGTCAGTTGCGTTGCCCTCGAGCATCGAACCCTGGAACACGTTCCCTTCGATCAGCTGCGCCATGCGGAGATCCGCCTTGCCCGCGTCCATGAGGTCCTTTCCCTTCATGATCAGAGCCTGCGCGAGCTGAGCCCTGCGACTCGGGCGAGTCTGCAAGAGCACGTTAGCCCTCGGGCGGTGATCGGAGACGAGGAGGAGGGAGGATACAGCGATCAGTCCGATCCCAGCGAGCAGGTACATGGTAAGATTGTTTCCCCTCAGCCTCCTGCTGAGGAGGGGAGCCGATTCGTTGGCTGCCATTGAAACTGCCACCATCGCAAGCTCCTTGGACGAAGCTCACGACCTGAAGAGACGAGTCAGTGGAAAAGAAGGAAATCAGAGCATGGTGGAAGGGGATGCATGTGTGTGGAGTGAGGGGTGTGAGGGGGAAGGCGTGGGGCTGAGGGAACGACTGAAATGAAATGTCGCCTCAAACGCCGAGATTTGCAATGCTGCGCACAGCTGATTGTTATACCACCTCATTCGGTTGTTTCTACCAAGAAATGAAACTGATCGGTTCTACCAGAAATGAAACTGATCGGTTCCAAGTTTTCGCAACGCTACGGAAAACTGAGTTTGCTTTCCTCCTTCTTTCTACCTTTCTCTTCTCCTGTGACCCTGCTATTCTGATCTCTCGATGGCCCGGGTTCTGCTGACGAACTGCACTTGAACCCCGACTCTCACTGTCTCTTTGGACCTCATCGATCTTTGAAGTCACTCTGCTAGATCCATGTACAAGGCTACTCTGATCCATCAATTCTTTTTCATACAACAGCTCTTCAGCTCAATCTAGTCCTCCATTACATTCGAACTCAAACTCTAAAACAACAACCTCCCCTCCCCTCCCCCTCCCTCCCCTCCCCTCCCCTCCCTCCCTCCCTCCCCCTCCACTTGTCTGATCTGCTTTCACCTGAACTTCTGTCTGTCTCTTGCTCTTGGTTTGTGCTCTCCTCTTCTTCTTCTCTTCCTCTCCTCCTCTCTCCTTCATCCCTCCTCCCGTCTCAGCATGTCGGCTGGAACGGGCGGTCCGAAGAGTCAAGATTGTATAAGACTCTGGACAAGTATAAAGATTCCTTATACATGTATAAGACCTTTATGATCCAATCTTTGTACTTTAAAAAGAGTAGTATATTTTGGAGCAGGGTGGTAACAAAATTGCTACACCTGGGTGGTCTTACGTTAGGGGTAGGGTCACATTACCAAGGGGGGTAGTCACATACCCTTTTAGTACCCGTCTAAATCACTGGATTTGCATGGGTCCATCTGGTATCAGGTTGCTTTCCCATAGGTAGTGGTGATGTCGCAGGGAGATCAGGGGGTCAAAGGGTGGACAAATGTGGAGGTGGGTTATCGGATTGTTTCGGTCCTATTGCAACCTAGGGTTCCTATGGATATCCTAACCCTTTCATGCGTCTGCAAAGCCCTGGCAGGGATAAACAATTGGGTGGGGTAGTCATTTGGAGGGTACCGGTATTTTGCACCCACCCACCTCTCTAAATTCATGGAAGTACCCACCCTAACGTCTGTGCTTTACACGGTAGAGAGTACCCTTTTGTTCATCGTGCGCTCCCCACCCCCGTCACCCGTTTGAGTTCAGATCCGCCGAGGCGGAGGTGAAAGGGATCGACAAATCAAGAGTTCTACAAGAGTACCAAAAGAAATATTTCTTTTTTCAATCACCCCTCATTTCAAGCAAATATTAGCTCGAATATGGGGTGGGTCCAAAGGATGGCGTAAGATTGTTCTTCAACCTTGAACCAGACACGTGTCTGAGAGCCGCACCATGCCCACCGTGAGTGAACATGGCGACTTGATGCTTGTATCATGCACCAGAGCGCTTGCTGCTTCTGCAAACATGATATCTCAACCCCTGCAATGCATGAAACATACTGTTGTATGTTTCCTTCCTACTGTTTTGTTCAACCCATGGCCTTGTTGCCTACTGGACGTATTGCTTGTCTTTACGGCACTTGACTGGCTCTGATGCATGCATGGCTGGAATTGGACCTGTTGTTCGGATGATCATGATAGACATTCTATTGTGATGTTTGGTGTTCGATGTTCGATGTTTGATATCATCGTGATTGCATGTCGACAATTGATGTTGTGATTAGTTCTGACCCCGGGGCAGAAATGCTTTTTTGATGTCACCATCGGCGGAAGCCCTGCCGGCCGTATCACCATGGAGTTGACTGACAAGTGAGATGTTATGCACGGACCATGTTCCTCTTCTGACTTCATGCCGACCAGCACCCCCAAGACCTCAGAGAACTTCCGTGCCCTCTGCACTGGAGAGAAGGGATTCGGCTACAAGGGCTGCCCCTTCCACCGCATCATCCCCAACTTCATGATCCAGGTTCTCCATGATGCAGCGCGATGCTCCTGGAGGCTCATGGTGTGGGCAGGGAGGAGACTTCACCAACAAGAACGGAACTGGTGGCAAGTCTATCTACGGCAACAAGTTTGAGGATGAGAACTTGTAATTGTCATGATTGACCTCTGTTGTGAAGTTGGCTCATATTCGTGCAATCAGCATCAACAAGCACACTGGACCCGGCATCTTGTCCATGGCCAACGCTGGACCCAACACCAACGGATCCCAGTTCTTCCTCTGCACCGTCAAGACTGACTGGTGACGGCTGAACTTGTGAGCATCCTGTCCATGAGTTGTAACCATCTTGCAGGCTTGACAACAAGCACGTTGTCTTCGGTAAGGTTGTTGATGGCATGGATGTCGTCAAGAAGCTCGAGGCTGTCGGCTCCCAGAGCGGCAAGACCAGCGCCGAGGCTGTCATCAGCGACTGCGGCCAGCTCTAAGCAGGTGTCTATCCGAGTGCAGGAATCATTAGGATCAGAGACATGTCAGAGATACCGCAATGTTGATAAGCTAATTAAAATTTCGGTGGAGGAAGTTGGCAATGTGTGGAATGATCGATGGATTGGACATGCCAGGGGTGCGCAGTTAGAGTCACTGATGATCTACATTCTTGTTTCTTCTGACTCAGCTCTCTCTCGTTTCTCTTCCTTGCAGCGATGATGCATCTTACAACGACCAGCGCCATCCTACCTCCTCCTCCTCCTCCTCCTCCTCCTCCTCCTCCTCCTGGCTGCCTTGTAACTCCTGGCATGTCCGTTTGATGGCAGACTCGCCATACTCCACCCCGTAAGCTTTCCTAGTACCCCCAATATTTTCACCCCCACCTACCTAAAAGGTGGGAAACGTTGGGGTACATGGCTCATATTGTAGTACCCCTGACCCACCCCTGACGAAGAAATACCCTCATTTTTGCTTACCCACCTTGTCAATTGTGCAGGAGCGCTTCAACTTTCAACCATGATGCGGCGAGCGGCGAGGTTGGGGCGATGGATGAAGAAGAAATGGCGGGAAGAAGTGAAGCCAGCAGCTCTTGACGCCATGTACTGGATCAGACACAACATGACAAACTCGACCAAGAGAGTGGTGAAAGATGGTGAAGATTGGGAGGAGAGGGAGGAGGAGGAGGAGCAAATGGCGCAGGGGACTGGAATGCAGTATCAAGAGAAGATAGTTGCAAAGTGGAGCCAGAAAGACGTCAGTATCACATTAACATGTTTTGAGATGTATGAATGTGTGAGATATCGACGAATGTGAACGTATCAATGCATGCAGTCCTATTTGAGATGTGCGAAACTTCTTGTTCTTCTAATCAACTCTCGTTCTACTGTAAACCATCTTGATCCCAGGTCATTGACTTTATCCTACATGAAGTTACAATGGGAGATGCGATGGAGTTCAGGTAGATTGCTCTCCTGCCTCTGTTCGCGGATGGATGATGCTTGTTCTTTGCTCTGCTCCTGACTCCTCCTCTAGGATCTGCCGCTTGTTGACTGAGAATGAAGTTGATGGCTCTGCATTGACGACGGCAACAGAAGTCGATCTGATAGACCTCGGCTTCGACCGCGTCCTCTGCCGCAAGCTCTTCATGAAGCTCAAGGCGTTCGGCAAGGACACAACGGCTGAGAGAAGGCTGGAGCGGCTCAAGACGTTCCTGCGGAAGAACAACCTCATGTTCATCAAGCATCGCCTAGTGGACGAGCTAGGGGTGTACGATCTTGATGAGCTCCCGACGTTGGTGACGAACAAGGGATGGGTCCGCTCCCTCAACCTGAACGTTGAGGACGAGATCCGGTTCAAGACGATCGTGCGCGAGTACTCGCTGGCGCTTGTGGCGCAGGAAAGCTCGGCGCTGGGAGAGGAGGGAAGAGCAAGAAGAAGAAGTCGATCAAGCTCAATGAGAAGATGTACAAATCGCACTCGCTAAGGGCAAGAGAGGATCTGAACAGAGCGCTCAAGGAGCAGAGAGCTTCCAAAATGCCGGCGGCGATTGGCCAGCAGCAAGTACGGTTGCCTCCTGCTGTCAAGCTAGACACGACCTCGAGGAAAGGGAGATGGGAGAAGACGATCCATGATGCGGTGAAGAGCAGCGCTGGAGGAGGAGTGCAGGAGGTGGCGCTGGAAGACAGCTTGGGAGGAGGAGGCCTTCCTCCTGGGTACAAGACGCAGCAGCTGCTGGGGATTGTGTCCCCGCGGAAGAAGGGGTAGTGGACGACGACGATGAGGACGATGACGAAGTTAAAAAGAGGACAACAACTGAAAGAAGGATGATGATGATGGTGACGATGATGGTGATGGTGATGGTGATGATGATGATGATGATGGTGATGGTGATGAAGATGATGATGAGGAGGGGGATCAGGTCAAGTGAGAGCAGGAGGATGAGGAGGGCGAGGACGATGAGTATGCTCTGTTCATGCAGCTCTGTAGGATTGATAGTGCTGGGTTTCAACATTCTCGCTGTAAAGGTTTGTACATAATGTTAGAAACAACAATAAATCTTGATGTTTTCATATCTAAATCTGGATCTCTCAGCCCAATCTGTGATGCTAAGGTTGTCTTATCACAAACAACATGGTCATCACATTCAGCACGAAGCTGATCGTAACGTCGAACACGAGCTTCGGCGCAAAGATGGCCCAGACCTTCGGGGGGGTTTCAGTGACAAGGTGTATGGGAGTGAATTGACTGAAAGCACATGAAGGGAGAAAGCAAGTGAAAGGAGAGCGGAAGTGAAGGGAGAGAGAGAGTTTGAGAGAGAGGAGGTAAACAGAGTGAGAGAGTGAAGGAGGGCAGGGAGTGAGGAGATGAAGAGATGAAGCAAACGTGAGAGAAAGGGAGGATGCTGTTGTGACTTACCATGAGGTGACGTCGCTCAATGGCGACGAAGATTGATGTAGCCACGAGGTTGAAGGATGCGAAGACTTGGAGGAAAATGCCGTTGAGAGGAAGGCAGCTGAGAGAGGAGAAGGGGGCTAGGATAATCCACGAGCCCTGTGAAAAAGTAAACTCTTGTCAAGAGAAGTACCGAGGAAAAGAAGGAGAAGGGAGGAGGAGGAGGAAGGAGGAGGAAGGAGGAGGAGGAGGTATTGAAAGTCAGAGGGAGGAGAGGAGGAGAGGAGGAGAGGAGGAGGAGAGGAGGAGAGGAGAGGAGGAGAGGAGGAGAGGAGGAGAGAAGGAGAGAAGGAGAGAAGGAGAGGAGGAGAGGAGGAGAGGAGGAGAGGAGGAGAGGAAAGGGGATATGGAAATGAATCAAGACATATAGAAAGACAAGGAGGGGGCAGGAAGAGAAAGTGCAGGGGAGGTAAGGCGAGTATGAAGATAAGGAGCAGGAGAAGAGGGTGAAGGAGGTAGAGGCCGTGGAGGAGGAGAAAGAGAAAAGGAGGACGAGGACAGGAAGAAAGAAGGAGGGCAGGGAGGGAGGGAGGAGGGACCCTTCTACGATGTCACCTGTGACGATGGGTGGGCTGTCAGGCCCGAAGATGAGGGAGAATGGAGGAAGCAGCGAGCAGAGACGTTCGAGCCTGGCCTCCCGCTTCTCCTCCTCGCCCGCTGGACTGTGCCGTCCTAGGGAGAGGAGGAAGCGAAGAGCTGCAAACATGTAGATTGTCCGCGGGATCCCTAGCCGAAGGAGAGCTGGACTTGCCTGCAGGAAGTTTGTGAGGAGGGAGAGAGGAGGAGATGTCCAGGAAGGAGGTGTGGGGCCGGAAGGAAGAAGGTGGAAAATGATGCGGGGGGGAGAGGAAGCGTAGGAACTGGGTGGAGAAGCAGGAGGAGGACGGAGAAGCAGGAGGTGGACAGAGAAGCAGGAGGAGGACAGAGAAGCAGGAAGGAGGACAGAGAAGCAGGAAGGAGGATAGAGGGGTGGTGGGAGGAGAAAACCGGCGTTCTTTCTCCTCTCCTCCCTAACTCCATTCTTTTGTCCCCTCCTTATTCTCTCCCATTTCCGCACTCCCCCCCCCCCGGT